ATTAGGGGAAAGACGCCTTTGAGCAGCCCAGTCGGGATGGGGTCCAGGAGACCTGTTGATGATTTAGATGAAGCAATTGTTGAGGTCAACTCAGATAGATCTATAGGGGAGAAGTAGTCCAAGTATAAATGAGGTCTTACAGATGTTTCTAAAGCCATTGTAGTAGATGGCACATCTGTGAGAGCTGTGGGAGTGGTCCGACCAATTTTTTTCTCTAATAGTTGTGATTTTATTTGTAAAGAAGCTCATGAAGTCATTGCTGCTGAGATCTAAGGGAATGTTAAGCTCAACAGCACTGTGGCTCTTTGTCAGCCTGGCTACAGTGCTGAAAAGAAACCTGGGGTTGTTCTTATTTTCCTCAATCAGTGATGAATAAAATGTGGTTCTGGCACTATGAAGGGCTTTCTTATATGTTATTAAACTATCTTTCCAGGCTGTGAAAAACTCTTCTGACTTAGTGGAGCGCCACCTCCTTTCCATTTTTTGTGATGCCTGCTTTAGGGAGCAGAGCTGCGAGCTGTACCATGGGGCTAGCCTTCTCTGTTTCACTGCCTTCCTTTTCAGAGGGGCAATGGTATAAGTGTATTACGCAGGAAGGCTGCAGTACTATCAACAAGATTATCGATTTGTGTGGGAGTAAGGTTAAGGTGGCCTCCTTCCACTGTGTTGGCAAACGGCACTGAAGTAGATAAAGATGGAATTATTTCCTTAAACTTGGTAACAGCATTGCCAGATAGACATCTGCTGTAGTGGAATTGTTTCCCACATAGAGTATAATCCATTAATGGGAATTCAAAAGTTATTAGAAAATGGTCAGACAGAAGAGGGTTATGGGGAAAAACTATTAAGTGTTCAGTTTTGATGCCATATGTCAGAACCAGATCAAGAGTGTGATTAAAACAGTGAGTGGGTTTATTTAGTTTGAGAGAAGCCAACTGAGTCTAATAATGAACAGAATGCATTGTTGAGGCTGTCATTGTCGGCATCTACATGAATATTAAAGTCGCCTACTATGATTATTTTATCTGTACTAAGCACTAAATCAGACAGAAAGTCTGAGAATTCACTTAAAAACTCTGAATAAGGAGCAGGTGGACGGTATACAATAACAAACAGAACAGGCTTTTGAGTTTTCCAGTTTGGGTGTGAGAGACTCAGGGTGAGACTTTCAAATGAGTTATAACTATGTTTAGGTCTAGGGTTGATTAATAGGCTTGAGTCAAAGATCGCTGCCACGCCACCACCTCGGCCTGTGTTTCGAGGGATGTGACAGTTACTGTGACCAGGTGGAGTGGATTCATTTAGACCAACATGTTCTTCCTGCTGTAACCATGTTTCAGTAAGACACAATAAGTCAATGTGATGTTCACTTATCAAATCATTCACTAACAGAGATTTAGATGAGAGAGATCTGATATTTAATAGTCCACATTTGATTGTCCTATTACTTTCTACTATAAGAGGAGTCATCTTAATTTTAATTAGGTTCTTATGAATAACTCCTCTGGAGTTGATTCTTGATTTATATAATTTAGGTGGGCAGGGGGCAGACACAGTCTCTATGGGGTACTGGGAGTGTTAGGTGGGTAGCAGCTGCAAGGAGACAGCAGGGAGGCGTGTAAGACTGTGACCCTGCATCCTGGACTCAACTCTGGGTTGTCATAATTTAGGTTGTAAAACAAACTCGTCCAGATTTCTAGATAAGAGAGCCGCACCACCCAAAGTGGGATGGATGCCGTCTCTGCTAATCAGACCAGGTTTTCCCCAAAATGTTTTCCAGTTATCTATGAAGCCCACATTATTTTCTGGGCACCACCTAGACAACCAGCGGTTGAATGACGACATGCGGCTAAACATGTCATCACTGGTCACATTGGGTAGGGGTCCAGAGAAAACTACGGAGTCCGACATTGTTTTAGCGAAATTACACACCACACACACATACAGTGTATTATGTACTTCCAGCACAGAGAGGAGGTTCTGACTTGTGTCCATTTGTTAACTGTATCCTCTAGTGTTTCTTGACCACTAACACTGCTAAGGAGATAGAGTTCGATAAGTGGGTCCCTGTTCTGTTTGTGCATTGCTAGCATGCACATGAGTATTGTTCAGTTCTCAGCCCTGTTCTCATTCCTGGATGTCTGTAATGTCTTAAAAAGTCATCAGTGAGTAAAAAAAAAATTGAGTCCAGTGCCACGTGAAATCATGGCATACATTGTATGCCGATGACTCCGTTTTTTATTGTTGTCAGCTACTGATTACAGCTACTGTGAGTTAAGAAGTAGCATAATAAACTTCACTTGACACTTTAGTCAGAGGGCTTTTTGCACATGGATCAAACCAAGGTACCTTAAAGCAAAACATTTGGGTTTATATGATAAAAATGAGGCTGCCACCAGCAAGTGTAAAAAAGGCAATTTGTTGTTTTATGTGGGTTATGTGCCATATTATTTCTACAGTCTTTAATCAGATGTTACTATTGTGAAAGTGTACTTTTATAGAATCTTTTCTTCTTGCACTAGGTGGATGTTTTTGTTGCCATGGATTATCACAAAAGGAGTTATGGCAGTTTCCATGGACGTGTCCACCTACAAGGCTCCTCGCCCATGGATGCCTCTCTGGTCATCACAGATATCACTCTGGAGGATTATGGGAGATACAAATGTGAAGTAATTGATGGGTTGGAAGACGGAACAGCAGTGGTGTCCCTTGACCTAGAAGGTATAATAATTGCGTGAACTAAATCTTTAAAGTGGGAAAGCATGTGGCTCTTTTTCCACCTAAAAATAAAATGTCTGGTAAATGTCACTGTACTGTAACAGGCTGCAGGCAGACTAAATTTATCACGAGCAGCAACTGCCTGGGGGAATGTCAGGAACCAGTGTGTTCTGTAAGCTTAGTGTACATCAGTGCCAGAACAGCTTCATTATGTTTGAGAGTAGCCGAGACATCAGCCCTTACTGCCTGGAGCCAAAGAACGCTGGCACCAGACTGGCAGGGAAACAGCTGTGCTTACACAGCAGGATGTGCTTTCGCTTTTGGCCATTAGGTTAAATGACAGGAATGACTACAAAGCCCAGAGGATGGATCCTCATTTTGTCAGCTAACTGCATGTCCTCTATCAGATCTTTGTGTGCTCTCTTTTCCTGTTTCCCACGCTCCATGTAGGTGTTGTCTTCCCCTACTTCCCCCGCCTGGGTCGCTACAACCTGAATTTCTATGATGCTGAGCGAGCATGTCACAACCAGGATGCCATAGTGGCATCCATTGACCAGCTGTATGATGCGTGGCAAGAAGGGATGGACTGGTGCAATGCCGGCTGGCTGAGTGATGGGTCAGTCCAGTATCCGGTCATCACCCCCAGAGAACCCTGTGGAGGCAAGAACATGGTGCCAGGCATTCGCAACTATGGCCAGAGGGACAAGGACAGGAACCACTATGATGTGTTCTGCTTCACCTCGTACTACAAAGGTGAGGGACACTATACCCGTGTGTGTGTGTGTGTGTGTGTGTGTGTGTGTGTGTGCGTGTGTGCTCACCTTTATTTACCCAGGTGGCTCCCCAAGACAATAGTCCAATAAAACAGCAGGCTGGCGGGTCAGACCTCTGCCACTGTTGGTTGAACAAAGAACAGTGAGTTTCTCATCAGAATCTTTGCTATGAGAATAAGCACTGAACACAAAGTACAGCTCAGGTTGATGGAAATGTCTTTAGTTTTGCAAGTATTTCATCATAAACCAACAAATGAAAAATACATAAAAAGCCAGAAGATCACCAAAGTTGCATTTCATTGTAAATGAAATATCAGTGTCAGAACCAAATTTCAGGGCAATTCATCCAATAATTTCAAGATATTTCCCTCAGAAACACAAATGCTTAACCTATGGTAGAAATAACAGAAACCTGAGTAGCAGGTTCAGTCACAAATTTACCTACTTAATAGGTGAATAAATAGAGGAGATAGTCTGACGAAGCCAAAACTCCTGTGGCAACTTCCCCATGAGAACAACAGGTTTCAGCTCACGACCATCATGATGGAAAAGAAAATGTTCACAGGATGAGCACGAAATGCTGATCTGATGTAAATCAAAGTTTAACTAAGAGATCCTGAAACTGACATGAAGTTTTACGCTGATTATTTCTCTAGCGAAGTGTCACCACTCATTTTGTGTATGTTAAACTACAAAAGCACACTGTACCGTACAGTGGTGTTACACGGTGATGTGTTTTTTCCCCTCGTAAACAATCTTTGGCTGGATACAGACTCCAGCTGCAGAGAGCCCGTTAACTAGAAAGCACATTTTAGCTGTTACTGAATTAATGTTGATTAGCTGCAGCTGCTCTAATCTGCTGCTGATGTCATTTCAGCAGGTCAAAGCAAAAGTCCACAAGCAGGAGGAAAGATGAGAGGTTGGATTAAAGATCTGTTAGCATCAGAGCTAGAAAGAAACACGGTATTTTACCAACTGTGAACACAGATCCAGAAGAAAAGCATCCTCTTCGGTGTTCAGTCTTTCCTCTCTACTGAAGCCCCGATGGCTCTGTATCTGTGGGCACTGACCAAGAGCCAGTTCCTAGAGAAGCAACCTGCTAAAGGCTGAAATGTGCTGCCCTACTAATAAAATTTGTGAAGGAGAGGTCATCGTTTTAGATACCTTATAGTGATAAATGCTTAATGCTTGTAGTTTAAAGTTGAGGTACATTCATTTGTGATGCTTGTTCTAAGAAGCACCTGCATATCACAGAAATGCTGCAGCTGTTAGTGGCTGTTGATGGGGATTCAGATTTTCATTCACAAACATGCATTTGTTATGTTTTTATATCTTTATGTCTGTTCGGTGTGTTTTTGTCTTCCCAGGTCGGTTCTACTACCTGATCCATCCCTCCAAGTTAACCTACGACGAGGCGGTCAGGGCTTGTCAAAAAGATGGTGCTCAAATAGCCAAGGTCGGCCAGATGTATGCTGCCTGGAAGCTACTGGGATTTGACCGCTGTGACGCCGGCTGGTTGGCTGACGGCAGCGTCCGTTATCCCATCTCCAACCCCCGCCGGCGCTGCAGTCCCACAGAAGCTGCTGTGAGGTTTAATGGCTTCCCCGACAAAAAGCACAAGCTGTACGGAGCGTACTGCTTCAAGAGCCTCAACTGAGCTACAAACACACACACACACACACACCGGCAACCTGTAAACACATACAGTACATGCACACCTTAGCCCTTTACCCTACTCTAAACCCAATCCTACCTTTAGCCATCAAACCATGTCTTCACAATGCTAAAATGTCCTCACAATGATGGGTTTGAACTAAAATGTGTCCACACAGCCATAGAAACACAAACACAAACACACACATACACACACACACACACACACACACACACACACACACACACTAGTGGAGTGAAGAGGGATTTGAGATATGAACCAACACATTCAAACTGTGATGCTTTGTTTCATGGAAACCTTAAGACAGATTCCTGTTGCTTTGTCATCTGGGACCTGATGCTCTACGATGGGTAGTTTACACATATTTAAGGTTCATATTATTTAATCAATGAATCTGAGAGGAAGAGGGTGGGCTGGTGGGGGGTGGTGGACATCACAGCTACAGTACAGCCATTCTGTCATTCAAGAATGGACTGTCCTATTACAAGGGACGACACATCTGAACTAAGAACGGTGTAACATCAGAATTCCTGGACTGAAACTTTGGGCACTTATCTTGTTTTGTTCAGGACCTGAAAGAACAACAAAGCCATGAAACACTGCTGAACAAGAAAGATTGAATGTCACAGGAACACGAGCTCAACCGATCTTTGCTGTCCATTCTTAACAAGGTGCTATGACTGGTACTTTGTACGTCATCATACCGTCCAGTATTTTGCGTCTTTATACAAATGTGTTGGACCAAACATCGTCTCATCGCTAACAAGAACAAGGAGCATCAATGCTTAGCATTATCTTTTATATGTAGAATGTGATCATATAGAAATGTCTATCTGTTAATGAATTGTTTTATATATATATATACTTTAGAAATATTTACATTACTATATTTGTCTTTTTGGCCAAATTATGCAAGACTCTTGTTTACTTAAAACATAACAGAGGAAAAACTCCACAGTACAAAAAAGATAGAAATGTAACTTTGCACTGACCATACAGAAGATGCCTACAGCAGAGGAGAGTAGTTCGCCCTATGCAGCAAAATAAAATGCCTGGCATTAATAAACACAGGACTGTGCTGCAGAGTACTGTTACTCTACAAGCTCAGTATCTTAGTTTGGCTTGAACCTCAGAGCATGAATTAGCTTCGCCAAGCACACAGCAGCGCAGCTCTCAGTGTAGCGTGATACGCACTCTCTAGCACCTCGAAAAACTGGTATTTTTGATACAAACATTGTAGTTTATTATAGTGAATGAGCCACGTTTGTGTAACCAGCTCTCTGTACTCCACGACATAGTCACATCCTGTCACTTCGCTAATGCCAAACCTAGCGGGGAACAACAAAAACAGTTGTTTCATCTTTTATTCAGTAGCAAATATCTTCATGATCCCACAGATGTCTTCTGTGTGCCAAGAATCATTAAATCAAAACCAAAACTAAACCAAACTAATATTATAACTAACTTTAACTATAGAAGGCCACAGCGATACCTAACGTACAGTTTTAATTACATTTTTGGATGAAAAATATTTAGCAACTTTTGCCATTACAGGAAACGAGAAACTAAAAAAAAATCAGCTTTGAAACTAAAACCATTTGAGCACAATGGGGAACACTTTGTAGTCATGGAGGAAGGTACGGCGTGCTAAGGTCACACATGGGACCTAGCCAGACTCTCAGTGAGCATGGCTTTCCTGGCAGCAAACCGCTCCCTGAATGCTGTCTAAGCTCTGCAAGTAAGCTCTGCAAGACTCTGGACCGTACAACCTGGCTCTGGGCGGGTCTGCGGCCAACCTCCACCGGCTGGCTGAATGAGACAAAAATACAATGCATTCAAAAAAATTATTCCTGTATGGAGGAACTCAGGGTTTCTTCCATGTAAGGATATCAGAGGATAAACTGTGTAAGCTCACTGCACACAGTCCCAGCTGGCCCTGGCACTGGTTTAGGTCATCTACTTGGACCTGGTGCACCTTAGCTTTACTTGGCCCCATGTTTGACAAGCCTCTGAATAATCAGTCCTGCTACATTTATCACTGAAGGACTGCTGGACAAACCGAAGAAATAGCTTTCTGTAATGAGTAACCACAGATGATGTGGGAGATAACTGTGGTTTACAGAACAGCTGTGAAGTAAGCACAGTACTGAAGAGTCCACTGCAGCAGATGTTCCTTTTAACTTGTATTAATTTCAGTCATTTTAAACAATTTCCAAACAACATCAAGTGTCACTTTGTTAAACGAATGTTTCAACTTTTAGAGGAGTGCAACCCATAGACTGTATTTAAAAATAGACAGCATCTCTTGAAACCTCCACAAGTGGCCCGCCCCCTGCTGGCTAGTTGCAGTATAGGTCATAAACCACACCCCCTCCATGTTAGTGGATGAGATATGAGCCAACACAAAAGTGCCAGGTACAAATCAAATAAAATTTTCCCAAAGGAGATTTCTCTCATTTTAGGTAGATATCATCACACTGAGTTATCTACAAGTGTTTATTTTTCTGATAGGTTTTGTTTTAAATAAGTTATTTTACAATATAAAAACAGGCTTATTTTGTATGATTAGTGGCTTTGACTGGTGGTCTGATACCATAACTCCACCTCTGGAGGCTACTGTGCACAATCTGGTTGCAAAGTGCATCACAAGATGGCAGCTTGGCTTCATTTTTGCATAGTTGTAGGAAATGGTAATGTGTCGTCCATCTTTACATACAGTCTACGGTGCAACCTCACGTCAAGACTTTAGCAAGTTGCAGCACCACACGGAAATAGTTTCAGCTTTTAACAGCCCATAAAACCATAACTGGGTCTTTTTACATTTCAGTTTCAAGAAACAGCATATTTCATGTTAGTTTGTAAAATTTAGAGGTGCTGATTAATATCTCACATCTGTCTGTTAAATAAAGCTACAGCCATCAGGCAGTTAGCTTAGCTTAGCATAATGACAGGAAATGGGGAAACAGCTTGTCTGGTTCTGTCCAAAGGTAACAAAATCAGTCTAGCAGCTGACTTATTGACTCAGTTTTTATATAAATTAAATTAAACAAATGGAATAGAAGGCGTTAATTGATGAGCTTTAGAGATCCCGTTAGATGGATTTCTTAAAAACCCTGGACAGAACAAGGCCTGTTTCTTGAGCGAATTGTCTCCTGGCTGTAGTTTTCTTATTTAGCATACAGTCATGACGGTGGTATCAATATTCATGTATAACTTTTAGAAATTTGATTTGTTACCTTCTGTTTTCTGTACTGTGTGACTAAGACTGCTCATCTGGAGCCATGTTAATAACTGAAGCATACAAGGAAACATTTGGTGCCCAAAGACAAAAGGACAATAAAAAGGTACCTACACGATGACTCTGCCTCTACTTCTTCACACAGGCCCCTCTGAGTTTTGTGTTTATCTGAAATGCATCAGGACAACCTATGAGCAACCATGCTGCAGTTGCAAAAGTTAAATAAAAGTCAAATAAAAGAGTTCATGCAGGCTGGAGCCGAGCTGTAATTGACTTCTTTTTGCAGAGAGTGCCAGGTGTAATTCCTGGGAAATGCCGTAATGTGCTCAATGTGTTTCCAAAGGGAGGGGTGCTGCTTACACAAATGTTTTCCTGACAGAAACACAGAGACCAGTCATGGTGCTGTTTTCAGTTGACTCACTAACTGAAATGCAGTACAGAGCCAAAGCGTGGGACTGTTTTAGAAACTGAATGACGGCATCTTGGTTGCATGTTTGTTTGAATGTGACCAACAGGACAGCAAAAGTGTCAGACCAGCTTTTATCAGCATTCATTTACTCTGACTGTCTACAAATAAGCTCATATAGTATTTTCTAAAGGTAAATATCTACATGGATGCACCACGTTTAATCTCATTACAAAAACTACGCTTTGCTTTTCAGGATACCCTGCATCTCTTTACTCCTGTCAGAGTTCAGGAGGAAGCATCTGCTAAGAGCTTTCCTAACTATATCATTCATATTGTCAAAAATATCCCGACCAAACCCAACAAGTATTTATGTGTATTACAGCCTGATGTATCTCCATCCTCTGTGCCATACAGCTCCATTGTGTCCAAAAACTATTAAAACACATCAGTGAGCCACACTTTTGTGGTGGGTGACATGAGAGCCTAAATTCATCTGCTGCTGAAGATGGACCTCAGCAAATGTCCTACTGTATGTCCTCCTGTTTAGGAAATCAGTGAGGTGTTTTTAAAAATACAACTACACATGTTTGATTTTTGTAAGTCCAACATTTGCTGTCATTTTACCTGTGCTACTAAATGCTACTCTATGTTCACCAACTAGTCGCTAACCAACTAGCTAACTAGAGTTTTGGCGCTTTAAGGTGACAAGAAATAAAACAGCACAAGAAAGGGAGATTGTGTATTAATAATTACTGCACACACAGCTGACAATCACAGTAAAACCAGGATGGCGGACATTGTTACAGAAAGAATCAAACGATTACATGAAAATAAGCTTTTGTGCCACAGATACAGTAAACCCCATCAGCCGCATGGAGTAGAAAGACATTTAAGAATGTATATACACCAACAGTATATGAAAAGGACAATGTATGAAGAACATAAAAACAAGAATGTAGAGGATGTAGAAGTCATGTCTTTTTCACATTCCCTTATTCGCTGGACTTAAAAACAGATTCCAGATCTGTAGCAAAATGCAACATACAGTATGTCTGGCTAAGAACACTTCCAAACCCAAACTAGCATGTTTAAAATCAGGACAATTCTGGCAATGAACTTGTTGGGTTGATTTGAATCACAGCACAATAAAAAGCATCAACATTGCTAAAGAGCAAACAAAACGGCAGCATGCGCTGCATAAATGTTTTCTCTATCAGGAAACAGCCGGACGATCTGTAAACAGCAAGTCATCATTAACAGAGTCACTTCATTTCCAATGACCTTTACTTATTATCAGTCCATTCATAGTTTTAAAGGATATAATATAAGTTACACTGATATGGCTTCTTACAGTATCTCCTTTATATGCTATGATTAATAGCCACAGCACATTCACCACACATTCATGTTGATCAACCGTCCCCTCTGAAATGTTTTTGTATTGATAATGGGCCAGTTTTGTTAGCATCTACTTGATACTCAGCCCTGCTGATGGTTTCACGCTGCTCAACCAAGCAACTGCTGGAAGTGGGAACATTTCACACAAAGGCAAGAAAGAGGGTGAAGAGGACATGTGTTTTCTGGCCAACAGGAGACTGTGGAGAGACCGTCATGACCTGACAAAGCAAGTGTAACAGACACAGCTGAAGTTGTCAGCAGGCTACTTCTGGTAGTGTTGTTAGTCCGACTACACTGTGAACAGTGCGGAAGCACTTAAAGGAGTAATCCAGCAATTAAAGATTGCATTTCTATGACATTTCCATCCACCTTTCTTATGCACACTTTCAATTTGTGCAGAAAAAACTTAAGTGGAAACACAAAAATCTCAAAATATAGCAAAAAAGTGCTTATACTTGATAAAAAACTAAATAAGTGACACCACCACCGCTGACTCCAGAGACATCATACTGATGCAGCAAAGAGTGAAATGTAGTCGAGACTGTTAATCAACCTGCCACTTTACTTAATTCCTTTACCTGGTTTAGTTTTGACAAAGCAGAAACCTATCTCTAGAATGTAATCAATGCAAAAATGATCAAATGTAAAAGATAATTATGACAAAAAGCAACAACACAAAATGTGTAGCAAGCTAACGTCCTTCCAAAATGTTTTTTAATCTTCACAAATATTCATGCAGACATAACTTATAGCATTAAAACTAAATTTAAGGATCCTCCGAGTGTAATTTACTTTGTAGTTCCTGTATTCAAACTCTTATCTTTGTAGTATTTTCCCTCAAATTTCTGGTTGTGTGGGTCTGTCACCCCTGTAATCCACATCCACTAGCTCTGCTTATAATGTCTGAGTGCGAAAATATCACTGCTAGCAGTCTAGCTTGTTAGCTTGGCCTGGCCTCACAAGTTGTAATGGTTCTTTGAAAGTCTCCTGCTAATATGTGATGTGAAGGAAATGCTTTCAACAAACCTCGAGGATGCACACAATGCATGTTGCTAAGAAATACAAAATGTAAACATAACTTTATTTATAAAAGACTCAACACGCTTAGCAGATTGTGTCGAGTCATGAGAAAGTAAACAGCTCTACGGACCAGCCCTGTGTAGTGTTTACACAGTGAAGCCATTAGGCCGCTGGTCTTTCTGTTTGGAGCGCTGTGGTGTTGTAGGAGGATTTGATATAACCTAAGATAACTTTACTAATGAACTAATCCAGCACTAGTGTTACGGTTCAGATCCTGGAGCATCTGTGAACAAGGCACAGGGGAAATATCTCCCTGGTCCTCATCAGAGCCATTGATAGACAGCTCAGTGCATCACTCTGTCTGTCTATCAATGACTCTGCACTGACATGGCCAGCCCGCTGTGATCGGCTCCCGCCACAAAGCTGGACCACAAATGGAGTCAGCGTCTCATTGGATCCTTGCTGTGTGTTTGGAGTCAGAACTGCTGGAACTGACTCTGGGAAGGGACCCAGGAGCTCGGCAGGATGTTCTGACTCTGCTGGTGCTCTGCGTTTCCATCGTGTTTCTGACTCCTGGCGTGATGGTGGTCATAGTGCCTGTGTTCTTGCTCACTGTGGTGCTGGAGAGCAGATGATCTGTGGTAGGTTGCAGCTGAGAAGTCAGATGGAAAGGAGAGTTAACAGACCATTGTGCAGCCTTCTGCACCAAAGCAGTGACTCTGCTACAGTGTACTCTGAACAGGATGCCCCAACATCAGCACTCACGTCTCATGCAGGTGACTCTGGGCGTGTCCCACTGGCCGTCATGTCGGCAGTGAATAGTGGGGGCGTGCCTCTGGATGAAGCCCTGTTTGCAGTGATAGCGGACCAGCGAGTTGATCTCGTACCGAGGCTTCGTGGCCCCAAACACTCGAGTATTCTGCACCACAGGCGGCTGCCCACACGACACTGGGTGGTAGGAAACAAAATGTCCAGTGCTAAATAAAAAGTATTCCTGGATTAAAGACCAGTGCTAATAATCTCACATACATTTTCTCTTTGAATATGACGATTCAGAGATGGAATATTTGCTGGAGGTTGTTACTGTTGTTGACTTGTATGACTTGCTTGACTTATTGTAGGGACTCAACTTGACTTGCTTGATTCTCACCGCAGTAACTTGGGACTTACTTGAGGTTTGAAGATTAAGACTTGAGACTTGCTTGTGACTTGCACATGTGTGATTTACTCCCACCTCTACCTTACACAGACATGAAGATAATAGAACATAGAAAGAAAAAAAAACCCAAAGAGAGCAGTTTGATCTGATTTGAGCCCATGATAGTGCAGGTTGGTAAAAGTGGTTACAGAGCCTTGTTCTGCAGGTGATGTTTATGTTTCATTACTTTCATTTGAGAATGACGCTATCCACTAGGAGTAACTGTTGGTTTCTGGGTCTCTGGACACATAATAAAACAACCATGTATGGTGTTGGAACTTGGATGTGACAGGGTACGCACATGAATCACAGCCCAGTGTGAAACATTTACCCATGGGACTCCTAATAGGAGAATCTGGACAAGCTTCAGACTAAATGTTTGCAAATAACTTATGAAAAAATGTGCCAAACATACAATTAGCAGCCATGTCATAAACATTTTGTAGCTTATGGATTAAAGCAAGCAAAAAAAAAGTCCCTGAAACTGTCTCCAAACTGGTTTTGTGTGTGTGTCTGTGTGTGTGTGTGTACCTGTTCCCTTTTTGCAGGTGAACGTCAGCTGATAGTTGCACGGCACATCGTTCCACTGCCCCCCCTCATGCCAAATCATCACCACACAGTCTTCTCCTGACTGGAAGAAGCTGTCGGGCTGGTTCGGCCTCCAGTAGTCATATTGCTGTCAGAACACAGTTTTCACAGTTTTACCTTGATGTGAAGCACCCAGTAACTGCTTCATCCTGAGCGTATAACAACCCGGGTCATGACTTATTTCAAGATGATCGCCATAATTACTCTGCCACTATCAATACTGCTCAACCGTACGTGTGTGTATAAAGGAGATGAAGTCTATCCCCAGGAGGAGACGGTGCTTATTCATCATGTGACTGGATGTAATTCATAGGAAAACCAGACTGTGGTGCTACTGGGACAGCCAGCAGCACAGGGGTGCACAGACCTCAGGCTTTCTGCAGCTTATATGCAGGAGGAACTCCAGAGAAGTTTTAGTTTGTATTAAAACAAGACCATAAGAAAATGAACATATTACTATGCAGCCACCGAGAACTGTACAAAACATGCACTCTACTGTATGCACAAGCTTCGTCCCTGGACAAATCTAATCCCACTAAGGGTGTGACTCTGTTCAAAATGATAACACATTACAACAGCCCCTGCAGTTTCAGGTTTCAGGGTCTCTGCTCTGACGGGGCCCTGCGTGCACTGTAAATTCAGCTCACATGCTTCAACAGCTGAGAAGTCCCAGCAGACGGTAAACGTGTGTGTGTGTGTTTCCTGAAGTCTGGACACAGACGAGTGCAGTGGTTGGTCCGGAGATGTTAGGCATCACTACCAGCACCAAGGAAGTTCTATGTCTCTGCTTTGTCTCAGCTGAGCAGGAGAAGGTTTTCATTCCTCTGTGCTGGTGTCACAAGCTGGAATCACACCTCCTTCACTTAAACAGATGTCAAACCCTCCTGTCTTCAAGGGGAACGTTAACTGTCAGGTAGCATACCTAAATAAAATATAGATGTTTGCACTAAAGCGTCAATTAGCAAGTATTTTCATTACAGATCAATCTGCTGAGCATTTTCTTGATCCAAAGTGTCATTTTCAACCAACAGTTCAAATCAGCTCCATTCAGTTTAAAGTGATATACACGAGAGAAAAGCAGCAAAGTGTCGCATCTGAGAAGCTGGAACCATGTAATGATAACTGACTGAAGAGATCGATCGTTTATCAGAATAGTTGCTGATTAATGATCTGCAGGTCGACGGATCGATTAGTCAGATACTGTACTTGCTACAGTTTGAAATTCAAAGTGTCGTGTACTCCACTGTTCTCCCTTCCTCCCGGATCCATAATCTAGGCATCAGTTTTACTCAGTCTCTCACTGGAGAGCCACGTTAACCAAACTTCCAAACCAAGTCATCTTTCATCTTAAAAATATTGCATGCATTCAGTTGTACCGACCATTCTCTGCTGCTGACACTCTGGTCCATGTCACTTCCAGACTCAACAGCCTCCTCTGCTAAACTCCACTAAACGTTCCCACACTAAGCACTTTCAGAACAGCAGTCACCTTTTTAAAGCTGCTTTAAACTGCAGTTCTTCCCTCCACCTTTGCTCCTTTTTATACTTTATTACCTACATCTGCTCTCTCTTTTTAAAATTGAAGCTTTATTGCTTTTTTGTTTTATACATTATTGACAGTGTGTGGGCTTTATCCTCTGGGAAACATGAGTGTCAACTCAAAATGGAAATTCATCCAGTAGTTGTTGAGATGTTTTAGTCTGGACCAAAGTACTGGATCCACTGAAACTGCCATCCACAGAGCTAACGTGGCTAAAAGTGCGTGAACGACAAGTAAAATACAAGACTTTCTTCTTCTTTTATAGATAAACTAGCTTCATCAGACACTCGTGGTGCCTCCACAGACTGAGCTCTCTTACCATTGGATTGCCATCAGTCCATCTGAAGTCTCTCTCAAACATCTTGTCGTTCAGGCCGATCCACTGGTAATCACTGCCCAGACCTGCAGAGGCAAAAACATCACAAGTCTGAGTCTGGGTTAATGTAAGTCATTAAAGCATCAGGAAACAGAGCAAGGTCTTGATCAGGATCATTGCTCAAAGGATTTTGTACTTTGAGATGACGTTGACTTTGCAAGTCTGTGGTTTTTGTCTGTGTGGTGTGTGTGTGTGTGTGTGTGTGTGTGTGTGTGTGTGGCAGCATGATCTGTGGTGAATAATCAAGAGTATGAAGAAACAGAGCATGAAGCGGTGAAATGCTGAGGCTGAGCAGCTGTAGTGAAAGACTCGAGTCCATTTCTCCTAAGTCCATTTTGATTTCTCTGGAAACTCTCTGTCTCCTCTCTGTTTAAACCAACTAAGTTTTATTAGTTATTTTATCTTCTTAACACTCAACGGTGGATTAGATCACAGATATAACCGACCTCTCTGGGGACAAGCAGTTTTCTCAAAGTGCACCGACCTACAGGGAAGCAGAGCAGCTATAAACACAGAAATAACCTCATTACTGAGCCGTGTTTATCAAAGGGAGGCAAAAAGGATAGTATGAGCATCTTCTTATACAACTGTGTTTGTGACCTTTCATGAACTTTACAGAAACATCAGACAAAGCAACGCAGCCAGTGACAGAACTGGGCGGATTAAACCTGTTCAACTATTTCATCTGAACCAAATGATTTGGAAACAAATGTAAATGCACAGAACAGGTCCTTTATAATGCACAGCTACATTGTAAAACTTGCAGAACACTTGCACAGCTTCAGTATGTGTGACAAGACCAAATTAAACAAGGAGTAATGCAGACTCAGTCTTTGGTTGAACAGCTGTGGTTCTTCTGCTCTGCCACTTGCCTGTTGATTGGTTGTTCCTGTTACTACTCTGTCTTCTACCTGTAATGACTGAGAATGATGTAGCAGGACTCGCGATGCGGTCAAATGCACAGCATAGACTTACGGTTGACAAACTGCTGCTCCTCGTGGGACAGGATGCTGGTCAGGTGGGCGCCGTGTAGCCGACACTCCCTCTCAGCAGCGTCCCACCCGCGACGGTGTGCGAAGTACTTGTAGCAGTGGGACTGAAACTTCTGCCAACCAAATCCACACACCTGAGTGTCTGCACCAGGGAAAAACGTTTGAGTGTTAAGACTGGCAGGTGTAGTGCATGTTGCTAGTGAACTGTCTTACTGACATACTTATATCAGTGAGGCTTGGTTAGATAACAGAAACAGCTCTCTATGATACACAGCACAGAATCCATCCTCCACAGTGACCAGATGAAGGATTAGTTACTGCAGGACTATTGGATCAGACTACATTAGTTTGATCTAGCTGTACCTATTAAACTGGCAAATGAATGCATAAGAAACAAGACAGTGAAACAGTCTGAATTTTATGCTGTAGACTTTTAACTTCCAGAGGTTTTGGACCCACACTGTTGTAACAATGAATCTACTGCAGCTACACAACAACTCTGATTTGTTTATTTCTCCTCAGACTGTTGTTCAGGCCAGAGACAGAGAATTAGAGTCAGAGAGCTGAGGTGCAGCTGGGAACGAGCTCAGTAACGCACAGTTGGATTTCATTAACCCTGACAAGTCTCCAGTTGTCTGCAGGTCAAAGGCACACACAGACATTAACATACGGAGCACACACATTTACTTTGATACATTATACTATGACTTTAAGCCATATAATCAGCGCTCTGCTTTGTCAGGCTCAGTAAACAATGGACGTTTTGTATGAGTGGCTGCAGAGTGCTGTGCGCACCAATAAGGCTGTGATGGAAAGCTGCTGTCGAGGCTCCGGGATATTAGCTATGGTCTTAATACCTCCACTGTGCAGCCACCTGGAGGCTCAGGTGAGGTTCCATGCCCACTAATAAACTATTCAAGCTGTTTAAAAATAACAGAGGAGGTGAGTGGAGCACAGAGGGGCAGACTAAATGCTGCTCCATCCAGAAGAAGCAGCGCCGATTCGATGCCACACAGCTGCAAAAGCTTCTGGCAAAATAACAGAGCAATTATGTCTTTTTTTCTGCTTGTCCGCTGGCAGAAAGCTATGAGGGGACAGCTGTGTGCGTGTGTGTGTGCTCCCCCGTCTACTGACAACTGACTGCATGTGGATGGATTTACTGTGCAGGCGGTACAGTTTCCACATCGTGTTGTCCACTGCACACATCCTTCCTGCAGAACAAGAGTCTGGGTTTGGGGATTTCCAGAGCTGCTGGCAATAAAAACAACAGAATTTATACTTTGCTCTAATTAACAGCTTTCCCAAGCCATGTTTTTTAATATTCAAATGGTTTTATTGAATTCTCCACTTGCTGTTACTGGCATTAGACTCTATTTTTGATTCTTATGACTTTGATTTTACTTGAGTATTTTACTGTCTTCTACTATAATAATTCTACTTCACTGCATTTCAGGGGAATATATTGCTATTTTTACCCTATTACATTTTTTAAATCTATATATTACTATATTTACTGGTTTGTTTGGGGATTTTGATGATAAAAACCTATAATAGGCACCTACAATGCAATATTATGCAGAAAAGTATAAAAAGCTCAGCTCTAACTGGCTGCTTACATGTTTATGTGTCAGTAATAATTACAAACAGTATAATGTATAATAAAGAGACTATTTTGCAACATCATGGCATTGAAAACTTTTATTTTTATACTTCACTTACATGTTGCTAACAATACTTCTGTACTTTTACTTGCAATGGAGTATTTTAAAATTCTTCCACCACTGTGGTAAAAAAGAAATGATTGCAACAAACTTTAACAATCTATTTTTACAACCTGAGGAATCTGTTAGTAAGTGAACTGACGCACATTCATTCTGTGCTAAAGCTGTTCTTAGCTCAGTGTTATGATTTACACCATAAAGAGAAATGAGAGTCACGCCAAGCACCGTTAAAAAAGGAATGTGGCCTTATTATTCTGTTCTTTCAAACCTAATGACGTCTTACTTTTGCTTAAAAACTAATAGGAAAGATGTGTTAAACTCTCAGCACTGAGAGTTGGTACATTTTCATGGAAAATATTAAGCCCTGGAGTCGTACACCTGACTCAGGATTAGCTGCTCAGTAATGACGAGGGGCTGGAACTAATCTGCTGAGGAGACGACGCCCAGCAATGGACGGCAGCCGAGGATCATAGACTGCCATGACTCAGGACCAAATGCTGTATCTACACTTGTGCATGTCTGTTCCACGTGTTGCAATCTCTGACAGGTCAGCAAACTTCACAGAAACACCTCATGTCTCTCCTCATTCATGCAGTGTCATCACAACCAACACAAATGACAAAACTATGTAAAACTAAGGGACAAGTTGGAATAAACTGAAATTTGTTTACTTGATTTTGGATGTTTTGTGTATGACAGTATTACAGTGACATCACTCAGAAGCAGCTGACCTTGTTCGCAGAGCTCTCCTGCATAGCTGGGCAGGCAGAGACAGGTGAAGGAGTTGACTTTGTCCTCACAGGTGGCTCCATTCAGACACGGGTTCGACTGGCACTCATCAATATCTGCGGACGCACAACACAAGCCTGTATTATTCCACAGCTTCCATCTGTCACTATGGGGTCAGTGTGGGCTATTAAAAAAGAGGACATGCCTCTGTGTGCGTGCGTGTACCTGTTTCACAGTGCTGCCCAGTGTAACCATGTGCACAGAAACAGATACTTTGTGCTCCCTTCATGAAGCAGGTGGCTCCATTCTGACAAATATTGGTTGAGCACAGTACAGCATCTACACAGATGACACAATGCAAATTAAAAACCATTAAAATCACACCAGTAATGAAGCACAAGCAGCTGTAATGCACGGTGCTTCGATAGCATAGCAGACGTATCCAGTCACAGCATGTCAAACTTTAGATCTCTCTCCATGTGGAGGTGGTGTACAAAGAGTTTGGAGGGTCATGTCTGCTTTTAGCCTTTCCAAAACCACAGCTCAAGTAAAGGTGGAAGGAACAGGTTAAACATTGTTTGTCTGCTCTAACTTTAGCATGCCTGGCTAACTAGCTTGCTACATTCATACCTGCTGGACACAGATCTGGCTTGTGTCTCTTCTGCCCCTTTACTGCACCAGGGCTCTGGCCAGTTCAGAAGGTAGAAAAGGCCAGATTCTGTGTCCAGTGAAAGAAATGCCAAAGCCAAGCAGCAAAGAAAAGCATTTCACAGATTAACCTATTTTAAAATAGGATTAATTACCATTAAGGACTAACTGATAACCTCGTGTGTGTAATGCTGGAATCGAGCACTTGAATTGGGTGACGTTAACTAAGATGGATTTTTTTTGTGAATTGGAGCTGCACATCCTCAGTCAGGGAAAAGGGAGGTAAACCAGTAAAATAATCTGCTGCAGTGTTGAAACCACTGAAGTAGCTGCAGAACAAACCACTAACAATGGAGTTCATGTACCTCTCACATCCTCTATAGAATAAGTGGAGTCAGTGCTGGTCTCTGGCTCTGTGGTCACAGTCTCTTCAGGTATCTGACGGCGCACCTCCACCACAGGACCCATAATCTCATTGCGATAGTCCAAAAAAGCACTGTCTGGGAGGGGGGAGGCAGCCAGGTCTGGGGTCAAAGCCCACTGGGGAACAGAGTGGGTGTGTTGGTCGAAAGTGTACAAGGGCAATGTAGTGGACAGTGTCTTGACATGTGTGGCGGACTTGCTCTGCTCTTTCTGGTCTTGGTAAGGCTCGGTGTCACCACCAGAAGCTGCGGGGGCAGACTCGACGGGAACAGCGGGATGCACCTTATCATCTGTGACAGCAAGGGAGAGGTGTGTGGAGGGTTTTGGTCTGCCATGTTCTGAGGTTGTTTCTTTAATGTGTGTAGTGAGTTTGCTTTGTTCCTCAACAGTTGTAACAGCTGGTAAAACTGTAACAACAACCTCCCCAGCAAAGTCATCCAGACGCTGACCCCCAGGAAGCTCCTTCTCTCTGGCCAGCTGCTCTGCACCCGAGCCTGTTTCTGTGAGTGTGTCGACAGGTGGTGGAACAACAGGCACTTCTGTGACGTCGATGCCCACTTCAGGTAGAGGTTGCTGGCTGTGGAGGGTAAAATAAGGTGTTGTGCTGGTGAGTCTGGACATCTCTGGTGGGAAACCATCTTGCCCTGAAGTCTCATCTTCTCCAGAGGCAGACCCTCCCTCCGCCTGGACCCATGTGGTGGTTTCTTGCAAGTGTGTGCGGGGAATAAAAGTAGGAAGCTCCGTCCCTCCAATTTCGGCCTCATCGGTCATCACACCAGACCGGCTATCTGCGGCTGAGGTGGGCACAGGGTCGCCTGCAGAACCCTCATATGAGGTATCGTCAGTGCCAGGGCTTGAGGAGCCTTCCACGTCCTTGTAGATAGAGACCCCATCAGTGACGGGCTGGGACAAACCAGTGAGGACTGGGCCTGATGGTGTGGCAGGTGCAGGTAAGGAAACGTGAGGTGCATACGAGTGCATGGTGGTGGGAACTCTGGTTGCTGCTTGATCATATGGTTGATGAGTTTTGTCGCTCTCAGAGACCTCTGGGATCCACTTCCCCAATGCCTCCACTTCCTCTGGAGGTGTCTCTGTAGGGGAAGCGACTGTATCAATGGCTTCTTCTGCAGGTCTCTCCTCTGTGTGCCTATGAATGGGGTCTATCAGATTGTCCTCTTCCTTCTCTCCTAATTGAACAGAAGTGGGAGGAGTGGCTGTCTCAAACTGACCCGCTCTGGCTTCCTTTGGCTGCTCTGGCTCAAATGTCACCTGCAGGGATCAGAAAAGTAGGTAGGCAAGTAAAGAAAGGCGAATTAGTGTCGATAACAATTTGGATCTTACTTCTGAAGGCTTGGCCATCAGCGAAACTATGACAAAATATTTGTTTTCAGGATGGAAACCAGACTAAGATTTAAAAACAAAAATTATGTTGACAAATTTTGACTATGAAAAATAAAACAAACAAATGGATAAAAACAACTTCTGTTCTCATGTGAAGTCTTACTCAGCATCTTCAGAACCTTTCACAGCCTCAAACTCTTCTTCAGATGTTCATTTAGATGTTTGTACTAATGTTACAAAGCAGCGCCTGACATCTCAGTAGCTTTATGTTTCCTCCAGTAACGCACCAAATATTTGAAGCAGAAAAGAAAAGATGATTGGACTCATCTGCAGTCCCATGGAAAATTACACAAGAAGCAGCAACAAAACAGCTGAAACAAAAAGGTAAGCTAACAAACTGTGGACTAAAGTTCATTTCAGTCAGCACCTAAACTCAGTCAGTGAGCAGTGCTTATACAAATTCCTGTTTGAGCACAGGTAGCTGTGAGGAAGGACGACACCAAATGGCGAGTCAGTAAGAGTTTACTACATGTCCGCTATTGTTTCTTGTCACTCTTCTAGGTAGCAGCACCACTGTATTCTCAGCTGTTAAGTGGGAGAGTGCATGAATCATCGCAACCAGTAGTAGCAATAGCCAAAGCTACACAAGTAAAACTGGAATTATCCTTTAAATGCTCCAGTGCACAGATGATACCTCATGATTTCCGTTGACAAAACTGACAGTTGGAGAAATGTTAATGGTTGAAGCGTTGATAGGGTCGATGTCCTCGGTGCCTGGGAACCCTTCCGTGGTCTCCTGTGAAAGGTCAGTGATCTGGGAGAATGGGGGCTGGGAGCCACTGATGATGTTCACAATACCTTCAACTGGAGACAAACAAGAAAAGGACCAATAGAATTCAAAGTCCAGTAAAACATACACAGACAATTCCACATCTGACTTGAGTTATATAAGAGGGTTTCTGCAAATCATTATCACTTCTCCAGCCCTGAAACAATTAGCCAGTCAACAGGAAATTAACTGGAAACTCTTCTGATAAAAGAACCACTGACAGAATCACTCCTCAAACTGATTTTGGCTTCTAAAATGTGATGCTTTGCTTTTCTCAGCTTTACACCGTTGGAAACTGAATCTCATTAGACAAAACGAGACGTCCCTGTGGGTTCTACATAGTTATGATGTAGGATTTTCTATATTTTCTGATATTTTAGAGACAAATTATTAATCAAGAAGATTATCTTCAGATTAATCGGTGATTCCCCAACTCTTATGTTGTCTAAACCTAATTAGATTTAACTGAACTTTGCTTAAATAAAAATAGCCAAATGCTAAATTGCTGGATTGTTTTCTGGAAAAACAAAAATAACTTCTGCTGACTGGGACCAAGATCAACTGTAATAAAGTGACTGTACATGTAATTTACCAACTCAAAACAGTGGGTTTAGTGTCTCATAAGAAAAGGAAATCATAGCATTTGCCAGCTGTTGGCTCGACTGGACGGTTTTCAGTATTCGATGCTACAGACACACTATAGTCGTTATCAAAATGGACTGTGGTTCAACTCGAAGTCCTAAAAAAACTCGTCTTTCTCAGTTTGTTGTACAGCAGGGTCCCACAGCAGCTCATTTCTGAAGTTGATTAAAATGAGCTAATGTGCATATCTGGATGGTTACCAGCCAGTGTTTATGATTTAGCTCAGTCAGAGCCAGGAGCAGCTCTCGAACAATGCATGCTTGTATCTGTTCATCACGGCTTCGTTGCACACATGGAAGCAATACTGTGGGAACTGGCGTAAAAATGTACAAAATGTGACGTGCACACAGACCCGGGTTTGGTCATTTTGTGTGAGGACGGAGCATGTGACGAAGTGTGACTGGACCGGGAGCTCCTCTTTGAACTGGACTGATCCAACTTGTTAACCTCTCGTTAACCCGCACCAGCCACAACATGTTGGCCAAAGTCAAAAAAGCCTCTGTGTGACTCGGAACTTGATCCTGCATGAAACAGGAAGACTTTTCAACAGAACACTCAGAGCTTCAATTTTCCTAATTTTCTCAAGACGTGGTGAGTCGAGGGCCTCTCGCTAACCAGCGCCGGCTTTGTGTGCTGATGTATGACGCCTCGGTTCAATAATAAACACAAGTCCTGGAAGATGGCACCACCTTGTCTGGAGGGACAAACACCGGAACACTGTGATATGAGTGACTGTACGGAGGTGTGTGTGTGTGTGGGGGGGCATTAGTGATTTGGGGGCCCTGTGCAAACCCAGACACGGAGCCTCCTTCATGCTTTATTCTCACCCTTTTTCTGACTGACAGTGTTATTAGTCTTAATGTTTGAAGCGGTGTAACTACTTCACCTGTGTTTGTTTTCTTCAGGATTTTGACTGAGCCATCTGATTTTTCACCAACAAACCCTGATATATATATATATTAACCAGGCACCAGGCTTTGGGACCCTTGGGCCCTGGAGCTCCTGGGCCTGAGCCTGGTAGGTAGATAGGCCCGTTCAGTAATGCAATCCAACAACTAATATACTGTAGATAAATGTGAGGAAAGAAAGACAGCATACAGATTGTTGAGAAGTTTTTTGTTACACCAACTCAGGCAGTTCCCTACATAAAAGAAAGTGAAGGTCAACAAACTGTGGTTTGTTGGCGGCTCATTCTCCTGATGTCTAGACCTGAAATGAGAGCACACATCTAAAGACATGTCAGCTAAATAGAAAAGAGGCTAATCACTGCATCTGACAAATGATTTGCTCTACTATTTCTGTCTGTTGATGAGGCTCTGCCGCTTTCCCACTGGACACACTGAGATGAGTTTACAAGATGTTTAGCTACAAAACTGGCCGAGCGGAGGCGACCGACTTCAAACGTTTCGACATCTGGCTCTGCAAACAGCGTGTGTGCATGTGTGTGACCATCTGTCAGCACACAAATAAAAAGGTAACAAACCATTAGCTGATTCCTACAGGCACAAAAACAATAGTACATCAGCCAGAGCAGATTACCGTAAAGTGTCTTGACTGCACAGTGAAACAAATATGAAGTGCTGAAAGAACCAGCAGTTTCATGTGCAATGTGAGACTGCTGGGTCCAAAAGCACAAAGGCTTGCAAATGATGCGTGGGGGGGCTCCTCCAGACCAGTGCTTGAAGTGGGCTGGTACACACTAGTAAGCAGGTACTCACCAACCCCAAACCAAATCAATTCACTAACCTTAACAATCAAGGTTACCTAACCAGGTTTCTGTACATCTAACCCAGGCCAACAGCTAAAATAACCCTTCGCCATAATTACTCTTGTTTTGGGACAGCGCATAGTGTCAGGAGCCCAACCGACATGCATCGGATCTTGCCTTGCCTTTGGCCCTCCACTCCAAACAGTGCAGTTGTTGGACTGAGACAGAGGACCATCGAGACAGACTCATTCTCCCTAACCACCAAGAGGGGGCGCTACAGTAAACCCAGTTGTTAACAGGGGAACACAAGGTGGGGATCGCATATCAATACAACACTGGCACTCCTACAGTTTACTCTTTGGCGTATGGCAACTTTTTCTTGCGTACTGGCACTCCTCACCAGCTGCACATTAACTGCACATTTGTTTGGTATCACCACCAAAGAACAAAGAAAACAGAGATGATGAGGCCCTCAAGGCTCCACACTTCAGGTAATTGTGAAAGCCTAACTTGTAGAACTTTGTTTACTTTGTGTAAACCTGGTGATAGTTTTCCAGTCTGGCCCTGCCTTTAAGTAACAAAAGAACATTCCAAATTCAAAAGAGTCCAAAAACCTGCAACTTGTTACTGTAAACACTCTAGTTTTTTATTAAGACTGACCCATTAGAGAACTACAGCCCTCAAGATAAAACGTCTTCGGGTGATATAGCAACACTTGTTTGGTATAAATACAGTCAGATTTGATTGACAGAGGCTTGAAGGAAATCTGGAAATCAAAACAAGTCCAACTCACCTGGGGGATCTTTGCTGTGCACACTGACGATGATGAGATGGATAGGTGCTTTATCGGCATCTACAGGCTGGTCGAGGTCAGATGTTGGTGTAGCTCCTGGGGTCACATCATCTTTAAAAATCACTGCAGGGTGTTGTCCCTCGTGCTTCACCGCGGCTGGGAGGCCTGACTCTGGGACGTGGATCTCTGGGACAATGTGGTCCGGAGTGCTCTCTAGAAGCTCTGATGGTCTTGATATGGTTCCTTCCACTTCCTCTAGACCTGTGGGGGTCTCTAAGTGCCAAACGGGCACTGCTGTGGGCTCCGCCCTCACGTGTGTTGGGATCACCACTACTCCCACCTCAGCCCCACTTAAGCTATCACTGCTGGTGCTCCCCTCCCCGCCGACACTGCCATCGCTTCGGCCTGACCCTGCTTGGCCTCCCTCGTCTCCCCCATGGGAGATGTCAAGGTGTGGGGACTTTGAGAGGGTGGTGGGTAGGGGAAGATGCTGCATGGGGACCATGTTGTTTTCTTCAATTGGTACCAACTCTACCAGGCCAGGACCTCCAAGATCATAGTTGTCGTAGAAAACAGTGGGGGTCACTGCGTCTGTGGTGGACAGGGGGGTGTAGTCGACTCCATGTTCATCTGCTGAGGCCATGTGCGATGTCACTTTTGGAGAATGTGGTGCGGCTCTTTGAATTTCAGCTCTGCCAGGGTATATGAGCGGGCCTGGTGGTGAAATGTGGGGGCTGTCAAGTCCATGTATTGATGGGTCCACCAGTGGACTGGGAGTCGTCGGCTCTGGTTGTTCCCCTGAGAGATCGAAACAGAAGGACGTCAGAAACCGCTTTTAATAAAGCTGCTAACATTGAGAAGCAGCTGGATTCACCCTGTTGGATCAGGTAACAATCTCACAGGTTTATGGCAGCTAATCAGAAGTTTGTTCTAGTGAAATCAGGTTTGGTCTGTCAGTTCTGTGAATGACGCTACATACTACAATACCCATGAGCCACAAGCGCAGTTGTCATGAAGACAAATGAATGAAAACAGCTTAATGATGATTTTGTGAACAAATGCAACTCCCTAATTGTGAAGTTCATTCAAAACTGATCCAAAATCTGAAAAGTTATTTGATTTAAGCAGAAAAACTTTAGCTTCTGATCACAATTGGTGAAACATGTAACAGAGTTTGAAGCTCAGCGAAGGCTCTGAAAGCTACAACATGCAAATCATACCATACCCCTGCCATACCAGCAGTTACTGTGTTTATCTAAAACTGACCCGTTTAATCTAAGGTGCAGATTCTCAACTGTGAAATCTTTGGCTTCTACCTGCTGTTGGCACGTCACAGCATTTTTAACTCGGTGCCAAAATGCACCTCGAGGGTCACGGTTAACATCTACCTCAAAGTTGTCAAGTCCACAGGCTTTTGACTTTTGAACAAAGAACCAGATGTTTTCAAACAAGGTTGTTGTTTTTTGTGGTGATGATTCAACTGGGAGAGTTTCATGTCCATCTGAGCCTTGACGCGCTCTGACAGCGAGTCACCTAACATCACCTAAAATGAATGGGACTTCAGGAACCGGGGGCGCCCAAAATAATGCCACACAGTTTGTAAGCCTATGCATGAAAAGACCATATTCATACTATCATTGATGGACGTGCTGACTCACCTCTAAGCTCACGACAGGATGGAAACGCCCAGTGCACTTTACAAACCGATGTATTGGTTCAGCATTGACCCACGACCTTGTAACTAAAACACTGGTAAAACTGCACAAATAAGGCTCGATTTACAACATTCTGTGATTATCTTTCCAAAGTCACTGCTCTATGTATATCTGGCTCCTTTTCCATCCATCTGGCAGGTTTTTCACACATAATAAGTTACTAGAAAAGTTACTTTACATCCAGATTGTTCTGTTTTTTTAATTTTTCAATAATAGATCTTATAAATGTTAGTGCGACAAAAACGTTAGACTTCCCTCTGACATCTGTGGCTGTACATAAAAGGGCTGGTCATCAGGTGACTCACAAACCACATGTCTGAGTGGATACCACTGGCACACCGAGGAGTTTTTAAACTATTTCTGCCAAAAACTACATTATGTGTCCATGACACATTATGTTAATAACTATCACTGCCAAAACCCAACCGGGAAATCTCTGGAATGCTTTGGAAAATACTCATCACCAATGTAATTTACATGTAATTTCTCTTCAGCGGGCTAAATTTGAAAAATGTTTATGGAATAAATCAGTATTGTCATGAGTCATTAAAAAAGAAAACGGTACTATCAGGAGACTGCCGGCAGCTGTCTGACTGCCGTTAGCTTACAGCGGGCCATAAAAGGAGAGGTAACGACTTTGGTTTTCTAAACATGAAGTCACCTGTCAAGAATAAGACGCCTTCATGCCTGGAGGCTGCTGTGCCAGTGTTATCAGAAAAACAACAGTCACTGCTGAATGAGGCCAAAGGACCCAGTGTGTAGAGCAGTGATGCTTAGAGAGAAGCCTTGCTCTCTCTCCTGCTGCTGCAGCCTGAGCCCTATTAAAGACATCTTTAAAACAGCTTGTGATGTTTGCAAAGATTTATATCTCATTGTGATGGAGCACATCTGATAAAGACATGTTCTCCTTTGTGTTGTGCAGAATCAGCAGGCTTCACACGTCACTGACAGGATTCTTTAATAAACACAACTGAACTGACTCCCCCGCATGTGGAGGGGTGGGGGAGTTGTCGGGGTTCCCCTTTTTCCACTCCTCTTCATGCACATACCCAGTAATACAACTACAATCTTGTGGTTGAGTATGTCCATGTAATGCTACATACTTCTACTCCACCACATCGTAGATGGAACTATTGTACTCTTTACTTCACTACATTTATCTGATGGCTACAGATACTTTTCAGATTAGGTCAGAACATTAAAAACATTTGATAAGCTTCTACAATGCAGTTTATTGTTAAATGTGAAAGCTGCTTCCAACCTATTTGGCTTGTGACCTCTTACTAAAAAGGAAGGAAGTTTTCATCCAGATGCAGTACAGGTTTTTACATTTCCAGGCAAAAGACAACGTCAACTAATGTGCATTTCCATCCACTAAAGTGGAATATTATTATAATAACAATAATAATTCTCCTGGTGGTGCCAATAAGCCAAGAAAAGATGAGAAGAATAAAAGAACTCTAGTCAAAGCAAATGGAAAACATGAAGGAAATCGGACACATATTAATGTGAGGAAGGTTTCAGCCTCCTCATCGCTCCACACACATTTGATGTTTCGTCTTTTCACTGGACACATCATCACTTATTCACACTGAACTTTGTCACATTTAGTTTTTATCAACAGACCAACAAAATATTTAAAACACATATAAAACAGGTGGATGGAAACATGCTCAGTGTCGCATTGGGTCCATTTGTCACCTTTCACATGTCTGGGAGTTTGTTAGCAGTTAAAGACATTTCCCCACTAAACTTCATGTAAACACCTTTTTGAGGCCTAAGATGAAAAATTATGTAATATTTTACAAAAAGCTAGCAACTTACTTCATCTTATGACCCCTCAGAATCATCTTGTGGCCTTTTGGAGGGGCCCGACCCCTATGTTGGAAGCCACTGGACTAAATTACCCAAGTCTGTATAGTTCAAACCATGGCCAGGGATAATGATTACTTTCACTGTGGATTCATTTGCAGATGATTCTCTTAAATTAAATGATTGTTTTATCTATGAAAAGTCAGAAGTGACATCTTCAAATAGTTTATATTTTTCAGATATAGTAGGAAACATTAAATTATTCCAGTCACATTGGTACAAATAAGAAAAAGCTCATACAAGCAGAGGTTTGCCTTTTTACTTGTGACTCAAACAATTATGAAAATAGTTGTAGATTAACTTTATGGTTGTCAACTGACTATTTGTCTCAGCAGTAACACCGGCTCCACCTGGAGCTGTTGCAACAGTAAAATGCTGCTTCCGCATCAATGCGATCTAATAATGTCACTGCATACTAATAGATCAGGGACATTTTACTGCAGAACAAGTATTTTTACAGCGGATATTTTTAACTGATAATATTTCTGTATGTTTACTTGTGAGGGACTTTAAGTGCAGGACTTGTAATGCAGTACTTTTACATAGCTGGGCTGCTTTTTGAGTACAGAACCAGAGCACTTCTTCCAACAGCGAACGTATTAAAGGGGCTTACTACAGACTGGCCCGCAGCCTCTGGGGATGTGCTCTGGTCTTTGACACCATGACGGAAACCCTGCCCAGATATGATGTCATGTGCCTGGCGAGCCATCTGGCCGGGCTGGGGTCTGTCCTCATACTGTCACTGTGGGTTAACGCTCTCCTGCAGGTCTGCCACCTCACTTAACGCTTGGCAGTGCACATTACACAGCCTTCAGGTACAAAAAGTATGTTTATACTGCCAGATATGTGACTGTTTGCAATTATATCATCTGCAAAGCATCGAGGTGTATCAGCTCTTACATCAAATGCACAGACTCACATGACCAATCTTATACAGGTTTGAATCTTTGAGTGTTTTTTTAAATAATGATAATGTTACTTCTGGGATTAGCAGCTCTGCAGCCCCCCTCTCCTTCCATGTTCTCCTCCCTCCCTGTCTGTCTGTGTTTGGGCAGGGTCCAGCTGTGAAGTGTTAGGGGCCTGTCCTGTTTCTGCAGTATGTATGTTAGAGTGCAGTGAGTTGGCTTTTCCCCTCATACAAAATGTGCCCCGCTATATAACGGGCAGCGGGAGATGTAAGCACGTTTTTACACTGAGCTGCAGATTGTGGCTTGTTTGTGCTGTAACACACTTCAGTGTTTACGTAGTCAGATACAGTTTTCTAGTGACTTCACGAGTGTGTATGACCCCTTGGAGGAGGACCAGTCTGAGGCTCGCAGAAAGGAGCAGCATTCACCAGAATTTCTACTAATGCTAAAAGCAAAGAAGACAAAACCTCTGAATCTATGTTCCCAGTTATGAGAAGGATGTTTCGAAAGCGTTTCTCAGTGAAATATTACCGGGACAAAGAGGTTGCACATAAATCTGATGGGTCCTGATGATTAACAGACAGGAAATAATCCAGAACAAATTCTTCTTCAGACTTTCTCTTGTGCAATGTTGAATAGTTTTATCCTCTCAGGCCTCTTAAAATTATTCAAATTCAATCTGAGAGCCAAGAAAAAGTTTCCATTAGATAATATATACGATGTAGTGTAAAGCTGTGAAGCTGGAATTACACATCTGTGGCCTGTATGTAGGTGAAAGTGAACAGGAGTCACTAGGAAACTTCTGCACGGCTGCTTTATGTATTTGTTTCCGCCCACTGACAGGAGCTAAATCCACCAGTCAACTCGCTGGACATGGGTCTGCACAAGGCACAGATGTTGGGAGATGTGCTCTTATATCCTTCTTTAGGTCTCAGAGATGTTTGGAATACATGTATCTCTGGAGAGATGTAATTCCAGCTTGAGGATGGGTGATAAGAAGCCAGTGCTTCATTATAAGGGATCACAAGCCAAAACGTTTGCGTCCCACAGTCATAAGCCTTCACTTTAGGAACTAACTCAAACAAGTACATATTACATACACATTAGGATTTCTCAAAGTTATTTTTCTGTAGCAGGTGTGTTGTACAAAAATACAACAGTAAAGTGAAACTGCTTTCAGTGGTGAATCCTCTTGTTTTCCAATGAGAGCAGAGTGGTATCAGTGCACACTTCAGTCTTACCTTTGAAGCAGAACGCTCCATGCCGGTCTGTGGGGCTCGGGTAGCCCGTCTGGTTTTTGTACATGTAGAGCGTGCGGACCCCAACCAGACCTCCTCCGCACTGAGGGGGATGGTAAAAGGGTGCCGGACGTTTCCGTCGGACAGCCAGCCGTAGTCACAGCGGCTCAGCCCTTCCCTCCAAGCTGCAAACAGCTGGCCAGGCGACGCCAGCACAGCGTCGTGCTTCTCACACTCCTCTCTGGCCTGCTGCAAGGTGAGCCTATCGCTGATAGGGGGGTTGAAGACCTTACCTTCACACAGAGGAGGCACACAAGGTAAAAAAAGGGGTTTAGTGTGCAGTTTCTGGAAAAGCTGCTTAAATATTTAATTATTTTCAGAGACGGCCTCCATTCAAGGCTCTCTTTTAACCAGATTGGTCTTCAGGTGTTGGAGAGCTACACATCTTCTGAGCACCTTTAGGACTTCTTGTCCAAGTTGACTTACTAGTTGAATTTGACAGAATCTGCTACTGAGGCTCATATGATATTGTTGGTAGCTCCACCACAGCATAGAAATCAGGGGATCATGAGTGAAGATTATATTGTCCCAAAAAAGAAAAATCATAATAAACAAGAGTTTAATTCTTTTTAAAACTATTGTCCAGAATGAAGTAAGATACTTGTTGTAGTTCAGGGACACAACAAACGCAAAAAGGAAAAGACCAACCTTCAGCATTGCATGGCTGATACCAGCACATTTTTTTGCTAATGCAGCTACAGACACATATTCACGACACTGACTGCATTGATTGAATTAATATTTCTTAGCTATTGTGTCACTAGGGATTGACTGAGATGCTGCACACAAGTACTGGGGTGTGTCTTGTGCTAAATGCATTTGCTTGTACTTGTGTGTTTACCGTGGAGTTTGTCTACAAAGCAGTACACGTCATAAGTTTCTGTGGGGCTGCGGATGCCATATGACCTCACTCCTGGCCTGCTCATCAGGTTGCCTGCGCAGCCTGGACGGGGCACCGTGATTGGATATCTGAAAAACAATGAAGGTGGCACACAGAATTTAACTGCAAAACCCTCCACCTAATCAAGTTATTTGTGCCAAATAGTTAAATCTGGCAGCGTAATGAGAATATTTCCACCTGTTTCTGAAAGACATTGAGCGGTTTTATCTATTTTCTATAAATGAATGTCTGCGATGAAACAATACGGCGACACTGGAATCAGGACAAATAAAACGATTTACACCAGACACTGGTGAAGATATTCTTAGCTGTGTCTATGCAGAAGATCTGTGCAGCAATCAGAGCCAACACATTGTGTAAGTGTAGATTTTTACACAGACCTGACTGACTGGTCGGCGAGCCAGCCTGCGTCACATTGGTCCAAGCCATCCTCAAAAGCAGCAATGAGCTGTTCAGGTGTTGCGATGGTGGCACCTGCAGCACGACACGCCTCCACAGCTCCAGAAAAATCCAGGCTGTAGCGGCTAGTGTTAGGTCGGTAGTGGAACACCACCCCTGGAAAAAGATGCAATGGGAAAGTGCATCAGATATGTGAAGTGTGAGAGTGGTTACAGGTGTAGAGCAACATGCTCCTTTGTGCACAGTGTGTCTGTGTCCCCCTGATGAGCCTCAGCCCAGTGCGCCCTCTCTGTTCGCTCCGTGTTTGGTCTCCACCACCTCCTGAGGGAAACCTCTGGCTCTGGAGCTGCTAAATGCTCCACTGTGTTCACCAGCTGGTCTCTGACCAGCTCTGTCTGCTGGTTGCTGCTGATCTGGTCGTGGACAGCAGCTGTTTAGAGCGTCTTCTTTGAAAACAGCTGCTTCCTGCTGCAGTTGGAGACGACACTAAGAGAGTGGTGAAAATGAGCCAAAAGCTTTGGGCCATAAAACCAAAACAATGAGCTGAAAGATGCATAAATAGCTCCACAGAGCTCCGAGGAACGGCAGCGCCGGTGAAGCGACACCTTTCACATTAGACATAGTTGTATGATCTACAGTTAAAACCCCGTAATGCTGTCAGCCTTAGTCAATGTAGGACTGCAATTAACAATTACTTTCATTACCAGTTAATTAAGGTCACAGTTTTTTTCTCATTTTGTAAAAAAGCTGAGTTGACATATGAAAACTGCTTTTTTTTGGCTGACCAACAGCTCAGAACCAAAGGTGTGCACTTTACCATCATAAAGAGTTGAAAAAACATTCACTCAGAACATTCAGAAACATGAAGTCCAACAGGAGAGTTGTTATTTTCCTTTAACTGACTAACCTGCTGATTAAAGCAGATTCACAGGTGACAGTTTTGAGCAGGAGGGGCTCACTCTGGGGTCTTACCACCAGGGCTCATCCAGTGGAAACCCCACAGTTGCTGTAGAAGATTATCCGACAATCAACCCTTGCTACCACACACTTGCACAGATTCCACATTAATGCTGAACAGGACTCTTTGTTCAGCAGCTCCACACAAAGGCGACCCCTATGAGTGACACACAAGTCTTCGTTTAACAGCTCAGGCATCTATTCACATGCTCCTGCAGCTCTGCCAGGACATCCTCTGTGTGGAGAAATAATCCTCGGTGCAGCTGAAAATAAAGGAGCTAATGACAAAATAACAGCCACATATAGTCTGAGGATGGCAGCTGAAATAACCGACTGGTCTGTGTCGCCCTGTACTGTCACGTAACAACAGGGGTAAACCAGGGGATTTCCAGAGTCTGATACCTACTGGAAATTTAACTCAGATATTTTCTCTCCCATTATTAGTCATTGTTTTATCTCCATCTGGGGGACGATCCAATCCATGGTGGCGGTGCATCACACTGTGGACTACAAACTGATCCATGTTTCATTTTAGCCAATATGTGTGTATGTTTTTGGTAAATCAGCACCATTACAAGCATCCTGAATTAGCCAATGTCGGCTCCTCTTGGAGTGTACCCATGGCTGTACTGGCAGCTCTCACTGCACTACTGTGATGTTGAAGATCACTTTAAAATGTGATGACTGAGTTGTGAATTTTTGATTCTAATTTGTCTCACAAACTATCTTTGCCTTCCCTTTAACCCTATGGCTCCCCCTTGGGAGGGGTTTGTCTTTCTCTTGTGTTGAATATCCGTGAGATCATACCTGTAATTTGATGAAGTTTAAAAACCTGTCCAGAACACTGAGTTAACTTACCAGGGACCACAGGAAATACGAGTCTGGCTTTAAAGTAGCATAACCTGCTTTTTGTGGCCATTTGGAGGCAGCACAAACAAGATGTAGGCACAACATATCATCTCCTTTTAAAATAATATGGCAAACCTGTTGGCAAACTGTTGGCTATTTTCACACCCAACAGATGACAGGTGACATTATCATTCATCTAGAGTGGTGTTTGTGTCCACCTGATGCCCCCTCTGTTAGCTCTGTGTTTGGTTTCCACCATTCCTGAGGGAAATCTCTGGCTCTGTAGCTGCTACTCAGCCATGTTCACTGGCTCGTCTCTGAATGAGTCCGTCTGCTCATAGAGTTGAAGCAAACTGCAGAGTTGGTGATAATCCTCTGTGGGTTTTCACTACAAGCAACTCTTACCACAATAAACTATCTGATCTGTTCTTCAGATAAAATATTGATCAGTGCAGCTTTGAACAGAAAAGCATAAGCTTCAGTTAATGCTTCTGGCATTAACTGTCAACTTGACACATCTGGATTCAGTCATGGAACAAGTTTGCAAACTCTTGACGACACCTGTGAGTTTGACAGTAAACGTGTAGAACTGGCAGAATGTGTGTGTTGAACTCACCGGAGACGCTGAGGCTCACGGTGCCCTGAGTGTCCTCCATCCCGTGCATCACCTCACAGAGGTACAGCCCTGCATCACTGGCCCTGACTGGCGCTATCATCAGAGAGGCGTCTCCGGCCGACAGCGGTTGGCTGAGCACTGCCACCCTGCTCATGTACTCCTGCCCCATCTTGACCACCCCTCCCTGGGCCACCAGCACCACCTTCTCCCTGTCTCCCTCCAGCTTGGTCCACTTGATTCTCAGCTGTTCGTCAGGGCTCAGAGGGTGAGGGGTATCAGCGGACAGAAGAGGCCCAGATGGCAGAGTCTGTGTCAAGCTGCTCGTCATTATAGAGAAGTGGCATGGCAGCACCACCCTGCCTGCCAGAGAGGCAGCTGCAGGCGAGTTCTTCTCCATCTTCATTATCTGGGGTCGTGCTGGAGAATGGGATCTTTCATGAGTGTGTGTATACATGACACAGCAAACAGTTGCATATATTTACTGTTTTTAATGTTTACACCACAATAAATAAGGACATAAATGTCTATAAACAAAGTAATAAACTAAAAAAGAATCAGTACTAATACCACAGAGTAAAAAGAAACTAAAGTATCCCCCGGTCTGAGGCTTTAGGGACTGCTCTCTCTGGTCTTCTTCTCAACCCCAGCTCTCTTCTACATGAGATGATGTTGGGTGGACCAGCTTCAGACTGTGGAAGCTGGAGTCTGATGCTACAAGAGATGCAAGAACCTGCATGTGTATGAGTGTGTGTGTGTGTGATCACTTGAGAGCATGTGTGTGTGTGACTTGTGTTGGAATCACATGGCACAGTGTCAGTCCTGGAGCCTGGCGTGCACGCTATTACGTCTATGTAAGAAGAGCAGCGCAGAGAAGAGGAAAAAATCTGGAGAGCAGTGATAGAGTTTGGATTCAAGCTACAAGAGAGGTTGCAGACAAGATGGCGGCCTGTAGACCAAGGCAGGAAGGTGTTGATATTAGCCAGAGGTTGTTTGGGTTTACAGTTGACATTATGGGTTAGAGGTTAGGGTTAATAGTTGGCGATTCTGCCTGAGGTTGATGGTGCACACAAGCTGGTCCCAAACCACCACCTCGTCTGCAGCCAGGTCCCCCTCCAGTCGTATCGTTTTCTGCAGGGCTCGACTCACCTGGTAGATGACGACCAGAACATAGACACACCAGGCAGAGCAGGTGTGTGAGGATGTGAAGAATCATCTTAACACAATCTGCAGAAAAGACAGTCACAAAATTACTTTACTCAGGTTTTTCTTTTTTATGCTACTTTATATTTATGTTCTCTACTTTATGTTGTACTCTATTACATTTGAGAAGGAAATATTGTACTTGTGACTCCATTGACAGAACATTATTTGGCAACTATTTTGATGACAGATCAATCATTTTAGTTTTTCCCAAACGATCCAACAGTTCCAGGTTTTCACACGTGAGAATGTGACACTTTTCTTTGCCATATATGTGATAATAAACCAAATATTGTTCTAGATAAAAACATTGTAGTGATCAATACAGTAACTGATTGTTACAGATCTGGATCCAAGTACTTCTTCCACCACTGCATGCATTGCATGTACACACATGTACTGAAGTAGTTTTTGAGGTAAATATGTACATTCTACTTCTAAGCCACTATTGTTGTACTTTTTACTCCACAACATTAATCTGGCAGCTTTAGTTACTTTGTAGTCATGTTTTAAATATAATGAATAAACTACTCAGCAACTTGTAAGTTAGTCCCACATTCCACCAGCTACAACATAAAATAGGGCTTACATGTAAACTCATCTTTAACAACAATCTAATCACATACTTTATGAGGTATTACCGCAAATGAAATGAGCCTTTCTACATAATGATGACTCTACATGAGTAAGGTTCCTGTGCAGTCTGCCAGAAACGTTGGTTTTGATCATCTTATGAAAGGACTCTAAGTTCACTGTGTGTTGCTTTTATTATTTTTCATCTGACAAAGTTTAAACCAGCGTCTCCAGAGCAGATGTGTGGTCACAGCTGTCTCAGTACCAGCTTAGAGCCCAGCTGTGGTGATAAAGCTTATCATGTGGTTAAGCTCTCTAATTGGTCCCAGGTGTCAGTTTTATCAATGGCTGTCTAATCATTCAGCTTTATCAGTGTGGGAACTTTCCTGACCACCCAAAAGCCAGCTCGTCCGGGGGTGGCATGGAGGAGAACCAGGCACATCACAGCATCAACGCCCTGAACTAATCATCTCGTCCAGGTTTCCGACGGAAAATTGTTTTTAGTAAATATCACGATATTTAAATTCTGTGCCAGATTTTCAGCGAAATTTTTTTTTAAATCATTCCCTTACCTTGTAAATTCTTTAAGTTAAAAAAAACGTCCAAAATTCCAGTTGTCTGTTGTCACTTCCAACCTTCTTTCCAGGAGACTTCCCGGAGGTCCCAGATGAACCGAAGCGTCTAGCGCGTCTGCTTCAGCAGCTTCTCTCAGACAGATGTCTATCTGCTGCTCGGACCTCGTCCCCCAAGTCCAAACCCCTCTACACCGCTATTATCCTGAACACTCACTGGGAGAATTTGTTCAAACCCCTCTACACCGCTATTATCCACACATTATGGAAGGGGAGGGGCGCACGTCTGTACCCCCCGGTTAATACACCGCCCATAGCAAAGAGAGAGAATGAGAGAAAGAGAGGGAGGTGTAAATGAGCGACAATGGATCGGAGACAGACATTAAAGGGTCACTCCGCCAACTTATTATCAACCTTCCCCAACATTTGGACTCCCCCCATGAGACAGAACATCTGACTTTTGGTTCCTGGTAGGAAACAAGCTTCAGAAGCTCTACTACTTAGTGACTCTGCCTCGTTTTTGACATGAAGATTTTTCTGCACCAGATTTTTTTTTTTTTTTTGAATGTGCAAACATTTCCCAACTGATTTCCACACATTAAACCATCCTAGTTTAAAATAATCCCCTCAAATGCATATAAAACCTTTTACTTTATATGACAAAACACAGAGTCATGTTTACAAGTTTATTGGTACAAATTTTAAAATGACATTTGTAAATATGTAAAAATCTGAATTCATTAATTCATTCATGAAGCACAACAATCAGTTCTATTCAGTGTTTAAAATACAATATGATTCTGCAGAGTGACAGATGGATGACAAAGAAAAACCTGGATGAGTGAGCAGACAGAATGAATGTGGACTGTTCCACAGTGGCACTGAACGGTCTGATGGAAATGGAGATGATGTGATTTATCTTAGCCCAGCTGAACACTCACTGGGAGAATTTGGGGCGAGGCGTTGACTGTGCTCTCCACTAAACCTTTCACCACAACTGCTGCAGGGAGCAGTCGAACACTCAGCAACAAGGACGGACATTTCACCTTCTACTGGAGTAAATAAAACTAACCCAGAGCTGATGTAGCTGTGCAGTCTCCTTCTGGCTTGTGAGCAACAGAAGGAAAAATATGGATCCACACACACATGTTTAAGGGTTTTATAGGCAAACCTCAAGCTTGTAACAAAGAGCAGTGAGGCCTCCCTAGTACAGGGGCTCTGATCACAGGTCTGTTCTCACTAACCCCAGAGTATATCACAGGCATCATGTCCAAAAGAAATCCCTGTTGGAGAAATAAATGATATACCAACCACAGTTAGTCATTATGGCTGCAATACTAAAGTTATAAAATAGTGTGGTCATGGTTACACATCGGTGGGTTGGAAGAGGAAGGAGCAGTGGTCTCCTGTTCTAACACCCAAGGTTCCCTCCAGCCCAACCTCCTCGAGTGCACACTCCGTCACTCGCTAACATGATGTCTCGATTTCCTCCTTTGACCCAGTCATACAACTATGAACAATAACGGACGTTGTCACTTGAACATAAACGTGGTTCTGGGGCACTCGGGGTGTGTTCATGTTGACATAAGTCATGTCACTTGTAAAGACCGGTTGTCACGAAACCTCAACTCTCCACCACTATTATAAAAACACCCTCACCAGGGTGGTGCTCATCCTCCACATGATTTGTTACCCATCTGCGTGCCATTAGGTTTACTGCAGTCAAGCACTGCTATTCTGTCCATCCAGTATAAAAACATCACATCTTTACCACTATGAATCAGCGCCGTGATCATGTTTTATCTCTGTACAGCGCCGTGTGGAAGGGTCATAAGTCCTCAAACAGGTCTTCTGCTGCTGAACGTGCTGCCGCAGCATCTGCTGTCCGCCGGGGGGTCGGCTGGTTACTAGATCCTGCAGGAGAGTCGCTGCTGTGCAACACACACACACACACACAGAGAGAGAGAGAGAGAGAGAGAGAGAGAGAGAGAGAGGATGGACAGGTCAGTGGGATAATGAGGAGAGGTTTCCTGTTGAGACAGGAAGTGTGTCCTGTGGCCCATAAAGAGCAAGACTAGAAACACATGGGCGACTTTTATACCTGTGTGTAGACGGGTAGAAGTGTGTGTTTGTAATTGTGCCCCCCCACCACCGGTCTACATCAAATACCTGACTACCCGTGTTAGCACATGGAGGTTGTTCTGTAGTCTCAGCTCTACAGATGCTTCTACATCCTGTCCTAACTGGAACGTAACATCGTGTGAAGTTGAAGAGCAGAGGATGCAGGAAGGACCAAGGACACACAGTGGGCAACAGAGAAAAGAGGATAGGAGGGGATCAAGGCAGAGAAGCCGAGAAGGAAAACACAAATGTACTCCAACTGATCATCAGTACTTCATCCTCAGAGGCCTGCTTTAAACCTGAAAAAGTCACTTTTTGCAGGTTTGAGCATCAGAGCACTTAAAACCTTTTATGAAGCTACTGCTACATGACATAGACACGTTAGCTGAGAATAAAGACACAGGTAGTTACTCTATAAGATATCTGTACCTCTATAAATGACTTGGAAAGTTTGAATCTGAAACTTCTGAGTCTTTAAAACAATTATGACCCCAACAGTTGACTTGTGTTTACTCTAGCTGTAGACAGGGGCCAAAGGTTTAGACCCTGAAGCAGAAGTGGAACAAATGAAAAAGTGGAAAGGCTGAGCATGCAGGGTCAGTAAGATCTGACCTTATGATGTTGGGTAACTGCCTCACTGCATGTGACTGACTGACAAATCCAAGGTGGCCTGAGAGCCACTCACAATCCAGAGAAACATCATGGTCTTTAAGTCACAAGCTGCATTTTGATGACTGTATGGAAACAAGAATAGCAACTGTAACAATGAGCAGCTCAACAGGACAAAGAAGAAAGGAGCAGAGAGGGGAGGCCCTGGGCTTGAATGACAAACACTGCACTGCTGGAACCAGTTAAAAGGAAACGGGACATGTTCACTGGGGAGCTGTCCCATGGAGGACCACCGGAGGCTTGGACACATGGCAGAGGGGCACAAGACGACAGCGGTGGAAACCACATACACAAAGAGGTGCTGCCCGGCACACAGGAGCCCCCACGCAGAGCTGCTGCATGTACAACAATTATGTGCCAGCTTGTAACTTGAACCAGAGGTGTTCACCCACATTACAAAAAGCACACTTTCCTTTTACCTCTAGCGGCAGGTAGTTTCTGCTTGGTTTGTCCAGGTTATGAGATTTATGGCTCCACATACAAAGGTGCAGTTTAGGCCATTTTTTGTTAACTAGTATCACTTGTGTTTACTGGCTTTCCCCTGTCACAGGCACACATGAACGTGCACAACTCAAAGGGCTTTTGCAGCAAATAAAATGGGGCATTCATTATGGACCAAGTCAGAGCGATGCCATTTGCACCAGCTCAAAAACTTCCACTTGTATGTATTTTTCCATCAACCTATTAAGTTACCTGCCATTTCACTGTGACAAAGAGCCCAGAAAACTGGAGGAAAAAAAAGTATGACGCAAAATGCAAACACCCACCGTCGGGCTATACCAGATCCATGTCTTGTAGTGATTATCTGTGATGGCTAGAAGCAAGGTTTGATAGATTACAGAACCGGTCCAAGGAGCGACTGGGTTTCACTGCAAGTTTCCTTTCTCTTCATGGGAAAACGGGCGTTTGAGTACACAAACATTTACATCTGAAGGACATGTTAACAGGAACAACAATGAGGACAATTTGAGATTTTGAAGCTGTTTAACAGAACTCAAAACATTCTTATTGTCAAAAGAAGTGTTTGTTGGAGGATTAGCTCAGAGGGAGAGATGTTTGTATCCTCAGTAAGGAGCTGGAGTCAGGAAACAAGAGGACAACACCCACCCTGGCTCAGGCCAAAATTCACGAATACACCTAAAACTGACCAATTAAACGCTTGAAATGTTGTTTTAGTGGCAGCTAAGTGCTCTAAGTTTTTTCTTAACACAGGGTTTTGACGTCGTGGGCAGAGGTAGAAGTCCCATCCAGCTTCGAACCATCAGAACTGGGTTAGAAAACACACACACGCCTGTGCACATAAAATATTTAGGCCAAAAAAGTGCAACAACAGATTTTTAACTTCTGCCATGCACTGCTAACAGTGGGTGGAGGGCTTGGCTTAAATTCATTCAGTGGCTACAACCCCACGTTTTGTTCACAAACTCAATGATGAAGTGTTTTGAATTTGCTGCACCTCTGACCGGCTGCTTCATGGCAACAGGGACAACGTATTAAGTCAAACTCTTCAACACACAGATAACCAATCTGCTCTTCTCACTTTCCAAAATAAATCAAATAAGCTTGTTTCTCAGAATGCTGAGCAATTCCTTTAATCAGTCCTCCTTGTCTTCTGATCACACAGCCTTCCTTCACTTCTCTTCAAGCTCTTTCACTCCCTCGACTTTCTGCTCCTCCTCCTCTCTGTTCTTTCACTGAACGACCTGCATGCAGAAAAACATGGAGGTAACAGAGGAAGGTGAATGGGTTGAGTTGTGATGGAGATGGAAAAAACAATAGCTGAGTGTGAGACTGCCAACAGCCCTGACCCCCCCATCTCTCCGACAAAGATCTTTCTTCTGCAGCCTCAGTTTGCCAGCTCGGAGGGGGAGCAGATTCTGAAGCCATCAAACATCCAGCCGGCCACAGCTGCTCCTCAGCTCACTGCCGCTTCTTGTTGCAGTAGTCAGAGTTGGTAAGAAGCACTGGTAATGGGCAGCACCACCAACTCCTGACAGCAGCTGCAGATAGATGGCACCACTTAGAGCCATCTGCATGTGGCACAGATTACAGTCGCTGGCGCTGGGAGAAGCTTGGACACAGTGTATTCACACTCTGTTGGGAGTATTTTCTAAATGGCCACATCGAAAAAGAAACTGGCAAATGGGAGATATGGGCACAAAAGCAGGAGTATTGTGGGACTTTGGACGAGCAGCAGCCAGACCTCAGGGCTGTGTGATGGCTTGACTCTGAGTGAAGATACACAGAGAACAGACACAACAGAGAGGAGAAAATAACAAAGTTGCGTAATTGTTTCTGTGAGACCAGTGACTGAGTTTGGCTCCGTCTTCCTTGTGCCAGGCCTGCCTGAGAAACCCCCCCGGTGCACCCTGCTCAGCCCAGAGAATAGCAGCATTCACCAATATCCAAGAAATTAAAGGTCTGCTTAAACAAACTGTGAAAAAACACATTTTCTCACATTTTTACACAATGGCTCTTAGAGTATTGATCATTTTGCTGGTCCAACAAACAGCCACTAAAACAACATGCAAAGTAAAGCCCACGTGCACACACACACACACACACAAATTAAAACAAGCCATTGCTGAACAAAGACGTTCCTCTTCAGGATCTCAATACCAAACCAACCTAATGTGTAACTCTCCACGTGTCCATACCAGTTTGGATTTCCACCATAGTTATCGTATGAAATATGGATGAGAGACCTCACTGAAATGTGTTTGTAAACTAATGCAGGGTGCTTAAAGGAGCAAATCGCCACAGCAGCCGTGCACGAAGTGTAGGATACCTGTCTGCCTGGTTCCAGCCCTCTGAACATGTCCACTGACGGCTGTGACCCTCAGCTGGAAGAACAACTGAGTAATCAGAGCTTTGCATAATGGCCAGGTGTCAAATGATAGATGGGGTCAAGGACGACGCTGGCAAACAAAGCCTGCTCACTAATAAAATCCAGGTAAAAATACCCACAGGGAGGTGGAGTTGCATGAGAAATTCAGTCTAATGCACATTTTCACAGCACCGATTCACCAATACAACAGAGTGATGTCACATTCACTACTCGGCCCAAGCTTGTCCAGCTCACAGCAGCAGTGATCTGCAGCCAGGTCAGTTTTGCTTCTTTTCTGCTGTTTTGAACTGAAGGCTGAGGGCTCCAAGTCGGGCTGTGCTAAGGGCTACCAAGAAGGACTTCACGCCAGAGATAACAGGACAAAGGTGGAAGCTTCGCTGTGAGCCAGACAAGCTCAGGCTGTAATGTTTTCTTACTCTAATTCACTCCTGTCACCTCTTCTCCTGATCCATGTGAAGCCAACAACAACAAAACTCCACACTCCCTTGTGTTTTTCACACTAAAATCAAACATACCGTATAAAGAGAAAGCTACAAGACTTTCAGTGTTTTATTCACGGTAGTCTAACGCCTGATGTGGCTCTTACATACTAATGAACCAACGATGTGCAATGCACATTATGCTAAAGCTATTAAGACAACTCGAAAAGATGGAGGCCATTTTAAGATTAACTAGGGAACAAACAAAGGTCTGGAGGTTAAAAACAAGGTTTTGGACACGGTTTGAGAACTCGCATGAACAATGTTAAACCAACATTAACTGATATTTTAGGCCACGTGGGAGGTTTTTTGGAGAGTGAGCCAAAACAGTGAAAATGCTCACGAGACCTGAGGAGAACTGCACAGATGGTAAACGTCCTCTGTGCATTGGAAACTTTTCACCTTCACACATTAGTCATTTGATCCACTGTTAATATAAAAAGATCCCAAGCTGACTGAAAATGATAATGAAGAACAACCAAAACAACAACGCTGGTCTTTCATCATCAGTCACACCCCGGCCACATATACAAGGATAACTGTAGAATGGTAACTAGCTATAAAGCCAGGAAGCTGCTCCAAGAACAACATTAGCTGGCATCATAAAGCAGGAGACTCTGTAATGTTCACACACTGTCAAAGCAAACTACAGCAGCACCGTCACTGAGTGAGACAGACATGAAGACATGACGTGTTTTGCTTGTAATGCACTCTACATACACACTCATACCTCTTTCTCTGGGAGGTCTGTGGCCTCTTAACGGCAGGGTCTGGGGCCCCGAGGTGACGAAAGCGCCGCTTGCGACAGGGGGCCACATCTGTGATGTCCTTCAGGCTGTCGTCCAACGGGCTTGGAGTAGAGCACCCTAAGGAGAGCACGAGTGACTCAGATCTTTGCACCAATGACTGGGATTCATGAACATGAAGCAGCCAATAGACAGACTGGCTAAAAACTGGATCATCGGCTGAAAAAAATCATTTTTGGTTTTAATTGTCTTTGTTATTTGAGTCTAATTTTTGTTGTTCCTGCCCAAAGCAACTAAAAATGTGAAAATATGTTGCTGCTTTTTACTGGTTGGGACCATTAGAAGCTTTTCATACATTACTACTAGAACAGGGACAATTTCTCATCAACGACAGACTGTTGATGATCGTGTCAGTAATTTCACCAGTAGCAACACTCTCCCTACACACTAAACTAAACACATAGTGAAAATACTCGCTTCCTCACTTTGCCTCCTTCCCTCTCCTTCCTTCTCCTCCCTCTCCTCCTGTGTGTTGGCAATAAGGCCCAACACGCTGCTGTCTGAGTCACTGTCATAGCAACAGAAACAACACAAACTCTGTGAGCGCTTCCTCATCAGACGGAGGGGAAGGCCCAGACAGCGGGGACACCTACGTCGCCCCTAAAACCTTTACGTATAAAACAAATCTGACCTAGTTTTGGATGATTTAACTTGTGTGAGAAAGTGGAAAAATCAGGGATATAAACAGCTAAGGAGGAGAAAAGCTCCCCTGAAAACCCTCACACAGCCTGTCCAAATCCATCTCAGTGTAACACACACCTACACTCCATACATCTGACCTCCCGCTGGTGGCACATTAGCATATCCAGGCCATCTGGGAGCAGAAGCCTAGAGGCTGATGAGGTGTGACGTCAACGTTAGAAGCTGTTTGCATTTAAAGGTGTAGTGTGTCAGCTGATGGAGGCCTGCAACTGTGCATTAAGTAACTCCTCAGTGGTGTCGTGGCTGGTTTCTAGGGCATAAAACACAGCGACGGTGAAAACACACTCAGCTCCCGTGACAATAGCTCCCTGACATACATCACACTCAGAGTCATACTGAACAAAAGGTGAAACTTAATATGAAACTGCTTTACAAAAACTCATCTTTTGTTTCTTGGATAACCTGACAGCACTAAATATTAAGGTGACTAGTAGCACTTTAATAAGAGGGCAGGGACCAGTCAGTGAAGCCCTTTGGGGTTATCAGTCAGCCATTTAAAGCAGCTCTGACCAAGAGACGCATCAAGAAACGAGAGGCCTAGTCATAAATGATATGACACCGTGGGCAGCACAGGGTTCACTGCTGTTCCACAACATTTAGTGTTTCTGCACTAAGAGTTTGCCCAGTCGCACTTTCTGAAAAGCTAAAGCATGACATTCTGCTCATGTTGGTTAAATTGTACATATTGTATCACGTTAACAAAGATATAACCATAAAACAACTGTAGCTGGCATGAGGTTGTTGAGATTGATAGCGAACCTGTGTACATCTCCAGGGGAACTGTGACCTGTAGTGTTAAACTGCTGGATTGAAATCCAATTTTCAATTAGAAATTAATTACTGGCCTTGCTCAGATAGAGCCTGTTCTTCTTCTGTGATTATTTCAAATGAACTCATCCAATCACACTTAGTCAGAAGTTGGAAGCATCAAATAAATAACTGACAGCAACATGTACCAGCAACGACTGGAGCTCTTTTATTCGATAAGGTGATCTATTATGAAACAGAGATCCCCGGCCTGGGGTTCAACCATGGATGTTGTAACTATGTGCAGTGTGGGTATTTATTTAGCATCAGCTCTACAGTAAATATTACCTGATGGCCCGTGATGTTAGACTGGGTAATAAATGTGACTGTAAAGGTAATGACTGCTGGAAGAAACACAATTTCTTATCAAATACATATGGTTTCTCATTTTGTTGTCTTTTTAAAATGGAAGCAATGCTTCCATGCAGCTGAACTGACTAAAGATTTTTTCTGGTGTTCCTGTTCACCTGGGAGTCTGTAAACTGCACATTATTTTGTCTTTAGTATATAAAAGTAACATAAGCACAACATTTTGTGGGATTCCCACAAACATCTGGTCAAACCTAAGGGTGAAACAAAAGGATGAGCTGTTAGTATGCAGCATCACGTTACTGAAATACTCCTGTTTGTAGCTCAGTTGATAGTGAATTTACTTATGGAAGATGATTTTTAAAGTTTAAATACATTAAAACTAAGGCTCAAGAAGAAAAACACTGTACTGAAACCAACTTCAGCACAAGGGCTTGTTTTGTTGACTTGGTGTTTTAGTTGCCGTTTTCTCTATTTGACAGTCTCACATCTGTTATGCGTTTTTGCAGGGGAAAACTCAACTCAAAGAAACTAGAGAATTTAGTTTTGTGTGAGTCAGACGCCTGTTTGATGCAGACAACTGGTTTGCACTGATGATTCATATTTGAGGGGTTACTGAAGATCAGACGGCACAAAGTCTGGGGCAAAATCCAGTCAGACTGCAGAAGCAGGAGCGAGGGGGGCTTCACAGAGACCTTACCCCGGGACGGTAAAGTGGAGGCTGGAGTCGGCTGCACTTCCGGCAGGTCCTCATCAGTACTTTCTCCATATTCATCCTCCTGCCCTGCTGTCTGGTCTGATTTTACTGGGCCTGTCTTTGTCTGTTTCTCAGAACTCCTACAACAGACCAGACATTCACCAACTGAAACAACTGATTAAAGATCACCACAGAAAAATGAATGAAACACTGATTATATATCCGGTGACTGTTACAACACACTGCAGCACATGAATCAGAGAATAGCAGTAACTGTGAAAACAGGCATCAAAGCCTGTTGAGAAATTTATTGAGCAACTAGATTGATCATATTTATTACTCTAAAGAAAAAGCACACAATACAGAGCTTCATTGTCTGGATCATTTAAAACATGTGAAATGTTTAGAGATGTTATTTCTCTGCGTGTGAAGCTGGAGCGCTGCTTAAAGCCCTGGATGGGTTTAGGCATGAGCACAGAGAGGAGCCGAGGTGTCCGCTGACCTGTAACCGCTGAAAGCAGCTGACAAGTCAGTCAGGAGTTGCTTCCACATTAAGCTGGTCAAATGTGTAAAAAACTGTTTCAGACTGTACTGTTCTCAGCCCTGGGGCAGGTCATTCAGAAGCACAGCTATATAGTAAATTCAGTCGTATTAAACAGGGTTGGTGACCGGAGAGAGCGAGAGGAGACTGAGCAGAGGTCGAACACCGATCCTCTGCAGAGCTGCAGCCCAGGTTCTGCTGTGATATCATCTCTAACCTCTAACCACACTTTACATGTTGATACAACCAATGACACAACCGTTGCCATTAACTTGTATTTATGCTGATTTTGCCAGAAAATGTCCCAACGAAATAATGGTTTTATCAGCTGGCTTTCTGTCTCACTCCTCACCAGATGTCGACTGTGGGGAGGCTTAACTGTTTTCATGCTGTCCAGGTGTTTCACTCTGTAAAGAGGTCCCTGCTAAAGAGAACTGGAAACACTAATGTGGAAAATACAAATGGCTTTCATTTAAAATTTAGATGGCTTAATGTAGATGTAGTCACTGTTTTAGCGTCAGTTGATATGCAAACAGCAGCTGTACGCAAGAGCCGAAAGAAGTGAAACCGTCAGCTGAAGAGTAAAAGGCAGCTGCTTCTGAAATGTCACCTGAAGTTTAAGCATTAAAACCTTCACATTCTCTAACACAAGTTCTGTTTTAAAGGAGCTACACAGGATTTCTGGGCAAAAAAAAAAATGGTGTGGAAATGTGAAATGAGATACTGTAACATCCAGTTAAAATAAACAGGACACTGCTGAGGTTTTCCCATTAAAATAAAGGTAAAATAACAAAATAAAATGACTAGTGTACCCTGTTTCCTGTAGGTGTGTGACCGTTTCCTGCAGACTGCGGATCTTGGCTTTCTTCTCATTCAGAACCAGGACAAACCGAGAGTACAGCTCAGCCTCCAGGGCCTCTTTACCACCAGCGTATCGCTTCAGTCTTAAACACACACAAGAGTCTTAAAGTCTGGACGTCATATTTCTTTCACCACCGACTCCCCAGTATGCCTGAAAGATACAGCACATGTGCTCAGTAAAGGTAACATAACACCAGTAACACTTCTTTGTCCCCTATAGCTGGAGCCAGCTGGTAAGAATCATAAGTGCTGGTTGTATTATAAAGTTAACCAAGTAGCTAAAACCACACCATAAAACACCCCATTACAAGTAAAAGGTCTATATTCAATAGTATTTAATGCTCTTAAAGTATGTAAAGCCATTTTAACTCTATACACTACTGAGTGGTTGGACATTTAGCATTAAATCATCATTTACAAGCGTGTGTTTTGTATGAACCCCCCCAGTTTGCAGAGTAACTGTAGCTCAGTGGAACAAAAACGTAGTGGAGCTGAAATACAAAATGGTAATACTCAGACAAAATGCAATACTGGATTTATATTGTTTAAAAACAACCAAATGTTAATAATCAGCAGAGTAAGGAGTCAGAAAAGTACTAAACAGTGGATTTTCTGCAGATTTATGTGGATATTTGAATTGAGATACCAGCTCTGACTCACCACTTAATCTCATAGGTATGTTTGTAAAATGTATTTTACATCTGTGTAAAAAAAACTGTTAGTAAAACTTCTCAACTGACTTTTAAGAAATTCCTTGGCTTTTCCAAAGTGGAGATGCCGCCCTAGCCCTGGCTGGTTTTGGCCGTGAGCAGTGGGAACCCTGGTTGTTGTGTGTTCTGTGTGTGTTTACTCTGCCGTGATGCGTTGCTGTTCTTGTCTCAGCCTCTGGTTCTCCTCTTCAAGTTTCTGGTTATGGTGCTCCAGCATGTTGGCCCTCTGCAGGCTGTGAATCAGCAACTCCCTCACCACCTGCACCGGCTCTGGGATGGCCTTCAACAAAACAGACCCCAACCTGAACTGGAAAGAAAGAAAACCCAGGAGTCGACCATATTTATTCTCCGAGTTCTGGTGGCTTGATGGATATTTATCCACATTTTGGATCCACAGATTCTGAGCTGGAAACAGTAAATACATGTATTATGCCTCCGTCTCAAAACCAGACATGATTCTGAAGTGAAATCAATGCATGGGGTCAGGAACACCTCTGAAAAACAGTCAGTGAACGCTGTTTGTCACGACTAAAGAGGAGAAGGACCATACAGCTTGTTATCAGCGCAGGCCAAAAGCCAGCAGCCATGATGGCATGGGGGAGCATTAGTGCACATGGCATGAGTAACCTGCACATCTGTGAAGGCACCATTAATGCTGAATGATTTACACAGGTTTTGAAGCGGCATATGCTGCCACCAAGACGATGTGGTACGAGTGCTAAACTGGCCTGTCTGCAGTCCAGATCTGTCACTCACTGAAAACATTTTGCACATTATGAAGCGATAAAGGAGCTGAACTGGTGAGCAGCTGAAGTTCTACTTCGGGCAACAATGGGAAAACATTTCACTTTCAGAACTAAAGCACTTGGTCTCCTCAGTTCCCAAACACCCGCAGAGTGTTTTCAAAACATGTTGCATCGAATTTAAAACAAGCATATATTTTTCACTACATTTCTCAGATTCTACATTTGATCTGTTTTGTTTGTACTAATTTACAATGATTTAACACATTGCATTCAGTTTTTATTTACATTTTACACAATGTCCCAGCGGTGGCATGGTGGAACAATGATTAGTGCTGTCACCTCACATAAAAAAGGTTCCGGGTTCGATCCCAGGCCGACCCAGGGCCTTTCTGGAGTCTCCATGTTCTCCCTGTGCCTGCGTGGGTTCTCTCCGGCTTCCTCCCACGGTCCAAAGACATGCGGCTTAGGTTGACTGGCGACTCTAAATTGCCCGTAGGAGTGAGTGTGAGTGGTTGTTTGTCTACATGTCAGCCGTGTGACAGACTGGCAATCTGTCCAGGGTGGACCCCGCCTCTCACCCAGTGTCAGCTGGGATTGGCTCCAGCAGCACCACCACCCCCGTGACCCTTGTTAAGACAAACGGTATAGATAATGGATGGATGGACAGCATCCCAGCTTTTTTGGAAATGGGGTTGTCCACATTAATCTGAGCGGTTACAGCTTTGCCTGTCCTGAGCACCCGAGGTGTCACTTGTCTGCTCATACTAGGGATACGAGTTGTGAACGACTAGTCAGAGCTTGATGCTGGCTGAAACACTGCTCCCATGTTGTCATAGAAACACTACTGTTTCACAAGCTGTGCCTGACTCACTGAGTCACACTGGAATAACTGGCCACTTTTATTTGGGGAGAGACCCCTGTGGACAACTCCACCTACTCTAGATTTACCGACTCAGAAAGTGAACTTGTATGTGCTAATAGAGAGCGCGTGAATGGAAGTCATCAATACGAACGACGTCCAGGTCCAACTCTATACCGACACTAATCCAGAGACAGGATGCCAAACCTCTGGGAGAGAAGGAGGAGGGTCAAAAGGGGAAATAATGAATGCAGACATGACCATAGTTACACTGTTGATAGAAATGTTTTTATTTCCATTCGCTGCATAAGGACTTTTATTCTTTCAGTTTTGATTTTCTCAAAATAACCACCTGAGTTTTGTTTTGATTCAGCTTTGGCTTAACTTAGTTTTAAAAAACAAGGACCAACTAATCAAAAGATGGGAAAATAAATGTGAAAGTAATTTAACTTCTTTACTGTAAAAGTCAAAGTTTCATGTTGACTTTTTGTTGAGAGGAAGGAGGCGGGCAGTGGACAAAACAGAGGGTGTGAAACCCCTAATTAACACCTCAGTCTCACTGAAATCTTCAAAATCATTCATAAATTAAGATGATGATTATCTTTGTATCTGTACTATTAAATGTATTTGCATGTTGAAGTGCTCCAAAGTGAGGACCAGCACAGAAAATAAGAAGCACATGAGTTTATCAGTGCCACGGCTGCTGAAATATAGTGGAGTAAGAAATTATCGTAAAACGGAAACATTCAGCTCTAATACAAGCACCTCAAAGGAAGTGTACTCTTAAAATGCACTGTAGCTGAATTACACTTCCACTGTGACCATCTGATCATCAGAATCAGAATCTGCTTTATTGGCCAGGTGTGTCGGACACACGAGGAATTTGACTCTGGTACATTCCTGATCATGAATATCTACACAGCACAGCATCAACTGTGTGAATGACACTTAGCCTCTATTCTATTCAAGTCGGTGGAGTCACAAACGTTTGTGGAACACAGCGCAGCATTAATGTCTCAGTCATCACAAACAGCGGCATCTTACACATCTTATGTCTAATTGCATGACCAGAAACACACACACACACACACACACACGTCTGGTGTGCTAACACCTCTACGTGTGCGCGTCTCTGCTGCAGCGTCTGCGATTAGAAGGGACCGAGCAGGCATCAGGCTGAAGCCTTTCATTATGACTCATAACTTTGACAGAATTAGTTATTTTTTTATGTTGAGCAAGAGAAACCCTCTGATGACTCAAGGCAGCACACTTCTGTAAACTGACCATTTCCAACTGATCCGTCAAACAGAAGCATCAATTCATTTCCCGTGTGCTGCAACAGATTTCCATTCCGTCATAACTACCACAGCAACAAAGGCTTTGTGTCTAAAACTTGAATGAGTGTGTTTTCACAAACTGACCCCTGACCAGGGATTATTCAGTAAATTGCCAAACGTCTTCTTGGGTTCGGCTCCACTCAGTCTGTGTTCCTATAATAAAATCGCAGCAGGACAGACAAGTTAAGCTCTATTTTTAACACGGGCATTTGCTGTTTTGTTTAGTTTCTTGATGCATAAGGTCCCCTAACAACAAACAAACAAATCAACAGCACAAATGCTTCTAATCAGCCAAAAATAGGACTGCAAAAAGACTTTTTTCAGTGAAAATGTCCATGACAGGTCCCCAAAACCTGTGAAAGTCGTTCGTTTTGTCCAAACAAAAGTATTCAGTTTTCTGTCCCAGAAGAAAAGAGAAACCAAAAAGCACTCACATTTTAGAAACTGGCATCAATCAGTTTGTAATTTTTGCTGAAAAATATAGTTTGAACAATTACTGGATTATCAAAAAAGTTGCAGAATCACTTTCTGACCACTTGGTGCAGCTAAAAACAAAACAAAACAAAAAACAAATGCAACACACTGTGCCATTATGCCACACATTTACATATATATGATAGACAACATGTCACCACTTCCCTCCACTATGTAAAAATAAAGCCAAATTTCTGTGAATACGGCGGCTGCCATCTTGCTTTTTTGTAACCAGATTCTGTGCAGTAGCGACCAGATGTGGAGTGACAGCACTGGATACACAACCAAAGCTGTCAAATGAACTGAAATACACCTGTTTTTATATCATCAAATAACTTACTAAACACTGTTGTACATCAGCGTGACAGTATCTACCAAAACACCCACAGAAGTGACCCCTGGGAAAAACTGACCTGAGCCGGGTTCAGATCACAGCAGCTAACGTGGAGCTGGGATTTATGACCTATACTGCGACCAGCCAGCAGGGGGCGATCCCGTCCTGGTTGCTTCACCTCTATGAGCTGTTACCCTGTCGCTCATTTTTACAGTAGATGTGCTCACACAAAAAATTTGCTGTTGTTCCAAAAACAGGTAAAATAGTTTTCATAATCAGAAATAATAATCCTAATTCATGCTGGCATTTAAAAACCACAGGTACAAGAAATGATACAGAACAAGACAACAAGGCAAATGGAGTCCCCTCCTCCCCTGTGGTGACTCCTGGAGACAATAATGTTCATTAAAGTGTTGGATGGAACAAACAACATCCTGACAACTTGGATCAGCAGCAGACAGTAACTATGTTTATTCAAGTCCTGTAACAGCACAGATATGATGTACTAGAGCATTTCCATTTCATGCTGCACTACACTCCAGAACACAGCATGATCTTATTGTCAGCCTCAGTTACGTCCCCTGATCGAGGTTTTACATACAAACATACAACATGCCTTGAAAATGCTTCAGCATCATGGTGACAGCTTCTTGTGTTACCCCCAAGTGGCCAAATATCAGTTGCTGCTACTTTAAGATTCATTAATGTCATAAGAAAACAACTGAAATCTGGCCAAAGGTTGTCCAGAAAGAAAAAAAAACAGGTCAACCATCCTTAGGTCCTGGTACTTTCACAAACTAGGACTTTAAGATGAGAGCTCAACTAAATCATGGCACTACAACTGCAGCTGGGAAGGTTTAGACAATAGGCATATTTATTACAGGATAAATAACTTAAACCAAAAGAGCTGTGAAGTTCAAACTGATTTATGAGCGCCTGAACCACATGAAAATGACATCAAACCCAACACAACAACTTATTGTATGAGCTTTGGTGCAGAGATTAAAAGCAGACAGGAAAAAACTGAAGGTCCCCATCCTTACACAGGACTATTTGTACTTATTCTAGCAGATCAGTTAATTTACTACACATCTGTGGTGAGGTAACACAGCAACAACCACATGGAGCCGCAGCTGGAGGTTCTGAAAGGATTAAGCTGAGAGCAGACTCATGTTTCACACTCTGTTCGTCACTTCATTGGTTCAGTCTGAGAATCGAAACAAGCTCAGTGCACTTTTCTCTGGAGCTTAACATCCAAGGCAGATTATGGAAACAGAGACAACAGGTGCAATGCCACTGCAAACTCATGGTCATCTTTTAAATGAACCTTCTGACTCTTCTGCTAAGTGAGAGGGGGGTTGAAATAACCTCAGTGATACAAACAAATATCTAAAACATCTCTCCTTCTGCTGGACCGTATGCGTGTACCACACTACGAGGACTAGCGACTTCCGTCTCACTGTGCCAGAGGTGTGTTTGTGTGACACTCACTGAGATATCCTTCTGCACCTTCTCATACTCCAGTTTAATAGTTGAACTGTCGTTTGGTGCAGATGGCGTCAGAGTGAAGCAGTAAGTCCAGGAGCTCTCGGGCCCTGTCAGCACGGCCTCCAGGTCCTGGATGTAGGCCTCCGTCTGCATCTCCAGCTCCTCTGCCTCCCCACACACTGCTGCCTCACTCACTGCACAAAGACAGAGGATGACCCTGAACGTGTTTGTTGAAAACCCAAGGTGTTGCTGCAGCACGTGGAAACAGAATACAGCAGCAAGAGCAGAACGAACGCAGGTATCGTGCAAAGCAACTGCAACATTTCGAGTGGGAATTTATGAACAGCAAAGGTTCATAGCTGGAGTTGGTCTTCCTACTGACTCTGCTCCTAATGCACGTTCAACTGGTTCCTTACATCTAAAGTGTTTCTGAAGTAACCAACTACCTGTGTGCTTATATTGTGTCCCTGCTATTAATATATGAGCCTCCATCTGGAAGGAAAGCTTTGTTTAGCCTCACCTGAACAAATAAATAAATTAAGGGCCACTGTGCACTGAGTTCAACCTTTAATCCCAATAAAACTAAGGAGGAGATTCAACATGAGTGCTGCTCAGTAGCAGCACCTTATCCAGAAAATCCTCACCGTACCTTTAGTATGTGATGGTAAAAGCTTGAACACTCCAGTTCTCTGACCCCTATGGAGGGTTTACAGCACCTTCCTGAATCCTGACCGGAGAGAGGTTCAAACTAATAAATCTCGCACTGTGCAGCTGTCCAAGCAGCTGAACTGATGGTGCTGACGGCAGCCGAAAATGATGATGAGACCAGATTTACTTTATTAATCCCATGAGGGAAACTATTGCGTTAGAGCAGCTATAAACAAAATCACTGCAGCAAACAGGAGACGCAGTACAATAATCTCACACTACTCCACAAAGTACAATGGTCATAATATAACTGTATACATAAATCTGATGAGTTGTAATCACATGTAAAATAATGGATGAGGGCAGCACGGTGGCGCAGTGGTTGGCGCCGTTGCCTCACAGCGAGAAGGTTCCGGGTTCGGGCCCTACCTGGGACCTTTCTGTGTGGAGTTTGCATGTTCTCCCCGTGCTTGTGTGGGTTCTCTCCGGGTACTCCGGCTTCCTCCCACAGTCCAAAGACATGCAGCTTAGGTTGATTGGTGTCTCGGTTGCCCGCGCCCCCCCCCCCCGTGACACCGCTCAGGGACCAAACGGTAGAAAATGAATGAATGAATGAATAATGGATGAGGGTTGAAGGGTACTGGCTACTGTGCAGAGCAATACACTATATACAAGTATATATACAACAGTGCAAAGAAAGTGGTCCAACAGGTGAGCATGTATCTGTCACGTCAGACAAAGTGAGACGTGTCGTGAGGTTGTGCAGGCTCAGATGTTTACCTTCTCCTCCCCACGCAGCCTGTCCATTAGTCAGCAGCAACTGGAAGCCCGACCCTAAGCCCCGCCCCTTCCAGTCCACTCGCAGGAAGTAGGAGGGGTCAGGCTCTGATGAGATGTGGATTTCACGCAAAGCTGTGTGCATCCCTGCAGACACACGCACAAAACAACACAACAGTTAGAAGACTACTATGGCTCTTTGGTAGTTTGGACTGTGGGTCACGTGACTCCAAATCAAAGTTTCCAAAAAAAAGAGAGATGCAATGTGAAAAATGTTCTTTTCTGTCCACAGAATCTGTTGGTGCACAAGGCAAAAACGAGAGCTGACCCAAAACAATAAATCAAGTCGCTCCAACATGTGGTTGACCTGATCAGACCCAACACTGTGAGCAGCATGACAATCTATGGAAACAAACTGTGGTCCTACACTGCTGCACAATAACAACAGACAATGTCATTAAAGTGGTGGAATTTTATTCTAAAAACAACTGTAGGGAGCAAACAAGCAGACAAACAGTTACACAATGCAGACATTCACTTGTAGTTTATACAATGCTCTAAGACTGTATTCATTGTATTTGTCCTGAGTAGGTTTACATCAATAGAGAAAGAACCATGTAACTGTCCTGAAACACATCAGATATTTGACTTATCGGTTCATTTTTAATGTAAAGGTCCCTCTCATCTACTATTTTCTTATTTGTAATAAGCACACTACTTCAGATTTAACCCATAACGGTGAAATGCTAAAACACAGGCTGTTCAGAAATATGTGACTGGCAGCTGACAGGGGTGTGCTGGACCTGATAAAGACCACATCTGTTCTTACATCATTTTTCTGACACCTGTCTCTCTCTGCTGTTCACGTGCCCACCATCACTTATCCTCCCCTCATCATAGCCACCAAATAAACTGCCTGAATGTGGCGGTGGTTTTAGACATGTGCATTAGCAGGAGGCTGAGCTATTGTTTCTTAGAGACAATAAAAGACATAGTGATGGCCCAGAGGGACATGGCAAAGCTATCAGAGACCCTGTAATGCCTGGCTACAGAAACCTCTCCAAGAGAAGACAGACGAGGCCTCCCTGTCGTTAGCTGTTTTAGAGCTGCTAACAGTACTGGTACATGGTTCCTAAAATGTTTTAGCTACAGCTACTTTTCCCACATTGTCTGATAAATTAAGTGAAATGTGGTGTGGTGGGACAAAAAAATCTAAAATTCTCACTGACTACATGCCCCCAGTAGAACCATAGACACTGAAAAGAAATTAGGCACCTGCTCAAAGGAGCAGGCGTGCTCTAACTAACTGATAAGTCCATCTTCATGCAACCGTATTACAGCATCAGAGCTGTGTAAGCATAGACGTCCTCTCATTTGGTTTAAGTAGAGGCTGAGCCGAGCGAAGCAGAGAAACCTCAGGTAGCTGGATGCTAATGTCAAGTCTTCCTAACACAGCCAGACACATTGCAGCTTCATTTGAATGCACACATTGTTTATTTCATTATTATTCTCTATTTCCTGTTGCCTTAAAACACATCGAGAGCCTCTGTACTGGAGTCAAATTAGTGTATGTTAAAATATACTTATAGATTACAGATGATTCGGATTCATCTTTAACAACATGCTTTATCACACCTACTTCACAACTCAGTACACGCACAGTGCAAGAGCCGAATTCCAGTATTTCCACCAAGACCAGTCTGTAGGTTCAGTGCACCGATCTGGTCCAGGCTGAAATATCTCAACAGCAATGTAGCTTTGTGTTAACATTAACCGAGCTGTTTGTAAACAGAGTGAAGCTGCGACAGATGGTCTGACGTGCGCAGAAAGACTCACTGACACCTCCACAACAACAGGTGGGTTTGTGTCTTACCTGCAGCATCACCATGTATATCCGACGGATTGACTTGTGGACTAAAACTTGTCTTCGGTGTAGTAAACAACTCAGAGATCTGCCGGGGAAGTGGATTAATACGTCATCATCACGCGACGCAGCTGATCAAATCAGGGACGAATGGCATCCCAAAATTTAACTTATGTGCCAAATAATTTTTAGTAAAAAGAATTAAGTAATCGCTAGCAGTCACCAGTATTTGAGAGAAACGTACAATAATTTTTAGGTGAATCCATTATTAATGGCTGCTTCTGAATTTATTTTATTTACGAGCAAGTAATTAGTCAAACAGAGGCATTTGTTTTTACCGTCTGATTCTCTGTTAGTTACTTAATCACGGGCATGTTTAGACGGTCTGTGGCAAATAAATGTTTGGATCACTCACTCATGTATTTATTTATGCTATTCAAGTGCGAGTTGAGTCGACTGAGGTAAATCCATGTAAGACAAAGAACAAAATAATGTAAGGACTGTATTGTACAAAGTCTACCTGTTGGGCTTAGCCTTTCATTGAACATTTACACTCACCAGCCACTTTATTAGGTGCTACCCTACACACTTCAATGCAACACTTCCACTTAACATCTTTGTTTATGAAGCTCAAAATGTTTATGTTTTTGATGAAATTGTCAAATGTATAAATTCAGTTATGTTTATTACTGAGGTCATAGTTAAAGGTAGTGTTGTGCTGGATTACATTATATTCAGAGGTGTCTATATTTTTGTCCTCCCCAGCTACATACAGTGGGGCAAATAAGTATTTGATACTCCACCGATTTTTCAAGTTTTCCCACTTACAAACAATGGACAGATCTGTAATTTTCATCATAGGTACTGTACACCTCAACTGTGAGAGACAGAATCTACAAAAAAATTTCCAGAAAATCACACTGTTAGATTTTTAAATAATTTATTTCCATCAGAGGGGATTTTGCCCCCCTCTCCATACAGGTCTTCTCCAGATCTTTCAGGTTTTGGGGCTGTCGCTAGGTAATATGGAGTTTCAGCTCCCTCCATAGATTTTCTGTTGGGTTCAGGTCTGGAGACTGGCTAAGCCACTCCAGGACCTTGAAATGCTTCTTACGGAGCCACTCCTTAGTTGCCCTGGCTGTGTGTTTGGGGTCATTGTCATGTTGGAAGACCCAGCCACGACCCATCTTCAATGCTCTTACTGAGGGAAGGAGGTTGTTGCCCAAAATCTCGTGACACATGGCCCCGTTCGTCCTCTCCTCAATACGGTGCAGTCGTCATGTCCCCTTCGCAGAAAAGCACCCCCAAAGCATGATGTTTCCACCCCCATGCTTCATGGTTGGGATGGTGTTCTTGGGATTGTACTCATCCTTCTTCTTCCTCCAAACACAGCGAGTGGAGTTTATACCAAAAGGTTCTATTTTGGTCTCATCTGACCACATGACCTTCTCCCATGCCTCCTCTGGATCATCCAGATGGTCTTTGGCAAACTTCAGACGAGCCTGGACATGTACTGGCTTGAGCATAGGGACTTTGCATGTGCTGCAGGATTTTAAGCCATGACAGTGTAGTGTGTTACTAATGGTAACCGTTAAGACTGCGGCCCCAGCTCTCTTCAGGTCATTGACCAGGTCCTCCTGTGTAGTTCTAGGCTGATCCCTCGCCTTTCTCAGGATCATTGATACTCCACAAGGCGAGATTTTGCATGGAGCCCCGGTCCGAGGGAGATTGACAGTCATCTTGAATTTCTTCCATTGTCTAATAATTGCGCCAGCAGTTGTTGCCTTCTCACCAAGCGGTTTGCCTATTGTCCTGTAGCCCATCCCAGCCTTGTGCAGATCTATAATTTTGTCCCTAGTGTCCTTACACTAGGGACAAAAGTGGAGAAGTTGCCCATAGTGGAGAAGTTGGAGTCTGATAGATTGCGTGTGTGGACAGGTGTCTTTTATACAGGTAATGAGTTCAAACAGGTGCAATTAATACAGGCAATGAGTGGAGGATAGGAGGGCTTCTTAAAGACAAGCTAACAGGTCTGTGAGAGCCAGAATTCTTGCGGGTTGGTAGGTGATCAAATACTTATTTCATGATATAAAATGGAAATAAATTATTTAAAAATCTAACAATGTGATTTTCTGGAATTGTTTTGTAGATTCTGTCTCTCACAGTTTAGGTGTACCTACAATGAAAATGACAGATCTGTTCATTCTTTGTAAGTGGGAAAACTTGAAAAATCGGCGGAGTATCAAATACTTATTTGCCCCAATGTACATGAGAGGGTCAGAATGTTAGGAACACCTCTGAATATAATGTAGTCCAGTACAACACCACCTTTATAAACACAGATGTTAAAGTGGAAGTGTTGCCTTGAATTGCATGCAGTTGTACAGGTGTATCTAATAAAGTGGCCAGTGAGTGTACATGTAGTTGGAACACCCAGAAATTATACAAATTCAATAATGAACATATTGAGATTGAGTTTTCTTGTTCATCATGCAACCATTCCCATGTCAAGCTTGAAAAAGTATTTTTAAGACAATGAGAATGCCCCTTACAATATCAGTCTTGGATGTTATGCCTTATTGTCCTTCTGACATGCTGCACCTTAACTGTCACAGCACTTTGGGGTAACATATCTGCATATTCAGGACATCTGATGAACAGGTTAGACCCTAAGCCCCTTGGTGCCCCTCTGAGTTGTTTTGGTTTCCTTGTTAGAGAGGCAAAGGCAACAAGCTGTGTGGCATGTTTTCAAGAAGGAAATGATGGGATTACT